AAACTGTTAGAATTAGTGATTATCTGGAAAACTGTTCATATTTGACTGTACAAATGCATAGAATTATAAATAGTTAATAATTTTTCTGAGATTTTGAGACACTCCCGTTTCTCGAGCTCGATCCTTCGTGGAGTTATGACCAAAAACACATATTTGACCCTGGTTACCTTGACCTCCAAGTGACCTTGACCGGTTTCAACCTGTAACATCCAGTGTACCCCGGTTATGTGTGTGCCAACTTGTGTGATGATTGGGTGAATATTTTACGCCACAAATGGTTCAGAAATTGACGAAATTGACGATCCTTTATAATGGAATGACCTTTCAATTGGCCCGTGTGACCTCAAATTACCTCAGATCGTCACCAATCTTTTTTTACGGCATCGGGCACAGGGGCCTTGATCCACTTACCAAATTTGGTGACAATTGGTCCATAAATGGCGGAATTATCGCGGGTGAACAGACACACACACACAGGGTGAATACAAAACCTGGTCAACCTTAATAACACGTAATAACTCAAACACGTATGGATCGATCCAAATATATCAGCTTATTTGTGAAAACCATAACACCTCTTAAAGGTCAATAATGTGTCTCCTTTAAATGAACGTACCAGCCTTTTAAAATCTTAGTTGGCATAAAATGATCTTAACAAGGTGCCAGAAGAGGGCGCCAGCACTGCATCTGCTGGTGAATTGAAAAATAAAAGTTTGCTTAAAGCTAAAAAAAAATTGTAGATTCCTTCAAAATAGCTGGAATGCTCAGGAGACAATTTGAAGACTATCTGAGGTCAGTAACAGCTTTTTTTTAATTGACTTTTCAGTTATGTGTAATGGCACAAAACATAATTGAAATGTATAAATCAGCCTTTGAAATATGAATAATTAGAAGTATTTACAGAATCATTCTTTTGGCCTGAAGGGACATAAATGATTTATTTGATCTCTGCTTGTTGACACTGGTTGTGCTTTTTTACACTTTTTAAACCGCACTAATTTCTTTCTGATTTTTGTGCCAGGATTCCTGTAGCGTTCAGTGAAGACGTGACCGCACCAAAAGATCTGCCCAAACCCAGTGAGAAACCTCAGCCGTCTCCAGAGGTACGCATGACTCACAGACATGAACTCAGTTTACACAAATAGAATTAATTTATCCCACAAAGACAACAACAAAAAACAGAGTGGTTCACTGGGGTTCACTTTAATAAAATAAAGCTTTTGTTGCATTTGTACTTTCCTCAGATTTACAAACTAAACATAACTAAAACTAAAAATAATATGGACGTTCTGTTATTTATTTATTTTCTGTTATTATGTTACCACTTTATGTAACTTTTTTCATGTATATTACACTGAAACAAGCAAAAAACCAAAATGTGGGTTGTTACTCTGAGCGGGCTTGCATCTCCACAAACCTGACTCTTAATTGGCCTGGAGGAGGGACCTTATTCTACTTTTCTTCATGGAAATGTTGTTCCTTGGGCTTTAATATTCCACAGTGTCGTGTAAAACTTTCTATCTCCATGAAGACTGTTCCATAGTATTGTTTTAACTTTTTTTACTTCTACATTTTTAACTCTTACATTTCCAAAGAATCATGCAGTTGACATGCCCCAGAAAGTTACATACTATGACTTTAAATATTGTGTTCAACTTAGTATACAAACTAGACTTTGTGATTTGTCAGGTGTCTTTGAAGGCAGCACCAGTGGAGAAGAGAGAGGTGGAGAAACAAGTGTCTGTGGAGGAGGACGTGTCCAAAAAAGAAGCTTTGGAGAAGTAAGAAAGGATTTGATTTACAATGATACGTAACAAATAAATAATAACAATATTTTGTATTTTCAGATATGAGAACAGTAAGAGGCTGCTTCAGAACCAACTGGCCAAAATCGAGCAGAGCTTTAAGGACGTCCCATCGGACTCAGTGTCTCTGAAAGGACTCCACACGAGACTGCAGGAGATACAGGTGCAGCTCAGGAGGTTAAAGTGCATCTGACAGGGTTTCATGGTTTTCTTAATCTGACCTAATCTGAGTTTGGTGCGATAATACCTGTGCTAAATATTGATCATAGTTTGACATGACTTAAGTGAAGTAGAAGTACAAAAATACAGAAATTAACAGTGAGCAGTTCTAAAATGGAATCCCTGTACCTATGTCACCAACGCTGAAAATTCCATCCAATACAGAGACAATTTACGCACAAAGAAGGCATTTTTCTGACCATTAGAAGCTTCATTTAACAAAATAAAGGTGTTGTTATTTATTTTATTTTTTTACTCTAATCATAGTTATTGTCTCATTTATTCAAGTTTTGGCCTTTGTTAACATTTTAGTTGCTTGGTAACCATTATCTATTATGTAATTACTTCTGACCTGCCAGTATAAAAATTTTAAAATGATAAACTTTCAAAAATGATCAAATAAGATTTACTTAAATGTTAAATATAATAATTTTTTTTTACTTTTTATTAAGTTTTATTTTTTAAGCTTATATATATATATATATATATATATATATATATATATATATATATATATATATATATATATATATATATATATATATATATATATATATATATATATATATATATATATATATATAATATATGAAACAATGTATTAATAATCCACACAACACACATTTACCCCATTTCAATGTGACATCATTAACATAATTAAGTTAATAAATTTCCGTTTTCCTTGCCAGTTCTTGCGTCAGGAGACAGAGGCATTGTGGTCGGACTTTGTTTCCCAGAGTGCCTTGCTTCCCCCGTCGCCGGGCGTGGAGCAGGAGAGGGCGGAGCTTCAGGAGCAGTGGCGGCAGCAGCAGCAGAGCCTGCAGTCCCGCGGCAGCTCTCTGGGGGCAGCACTGAGGCAGATCGACTCCACAGAGAATCACATGGTCGACTTCACCGACCGTTTGGACCGGTTCCTACGGCAACCCAAAGACATCAGCGGCTTCACTCTGGCCAACACCAACATCCTCAAGGACATCAAGGTATTATCCTCCTCCTACTCCTACTTTTTATACTAAAGCAGAACTAGCAGAACAAGTAACTTTAGTGACAGAGCTCCCCCTGCAGCTCCCTTATGAGAATACACTGGGAGACTTTCAAAATGCTCTCTGGGTCAAAGTCATGTTGCAAGGCTGGTTTTCCACTAAAAGACACTGGTACTGACAAACACCACAAAAAAACATATAGTATTTAACAATCCTTTATTACATACATTTGATTCTTGTGAACTTTAAGACATATTATAATGTTGTTACCTCCTCAAAAACAGACTATGGAGTTGTGTTTGTCATTCAGTGTTAACAGAAATGTCCTCTTGTCCTTGTTAAACAGGACTTGGACGGTAACATCCAGAGTGAGTTGGAGCAGCTGTCCCGTTTGGACCCAGAGTCGAGTGGTCTCGACCCCAGAGACAGTTTCCCTCTGAGCCGAGAGGTGGAGGCTCACAGGACCAGTCTGGACCAGTTCCGTCAGCAGGTGCAGAAGAGCGAAGCCGCAGCCAGAGCCTTGGACAGGTTCCTCATGTCCCTGAGGACAGTGGACGAGGACATCACAGGGGTTCAAAACGCCCTCTTCACCGACCCCACGGTACTGCAACACTGTTTTCACCTGTTGGGTGGGGCTGAATAATCTGGGAAAAATATGTAATTGAATTTTTTCTGACAAGCTCTGCAACTGTGATAAAACTTGTAATCCATGTTTTAAGAACAGCATTCTGTTTAAAGTTCACATTTAAAATGTGTCCAGACTAAATATGACCTGACAAACAATTACAAGAATCACATGTATTTCAAAACATGTGTACAGATTTAAACTACAGAATTAGCCATTTTTATGCAGAAAAAGATAGTATGAAGTACAAATATTATAAAAGACACCTCCAGCAGAAAGATGACATAATGCCCTTTTAATTACCCTGAATTATATAATTATCACACATTTCTCTTATATGTAACAACTTCACTCTGCCCTAGTTAGACCTAAGCATTTGATACACATAATGATTTTATTCTTATTATTTTCTAGATTTCTTCTTCTTCTTTTGCTTCATAGCATAATAATTATTCCTTTTCTAGGAGGGCCGTTCTAAACTGTCCCTGATCCGTCAGAGCATTGACAGCCTCAAAGACAAAGCTCCACAGCTGGACCTTTTGCTCCAGGGAGCTCGGCTCACTGTGACCCAGGACGGAGTGCCTGCCTCCTGCCTGGACATGGTCTCTGCACTGCTCCGGAAGATGGAGGAGGTGGATGGTTCTCTGTCCAGTCAGCAGCAGCAGAACCAGAAGGAAAACCAGAGCAAGTCTGCAGGTCTCAGAAAGAGGGCGCTGTTGAGTGAGCTGCGGAAATTACAGGACACAGTGGAGGCGCAGGCACTGAGGGAGCCCACTCTGCCTGCACTACAGCAGAGGTGAGACAGTCTGAACCACACACTGTCACATCACGTTCACTTATAGAGCACATCTAATAAAAGACCCATACTTTCTGAGCTATGATATAATGTTGTTTCCTCATTAAAAAACTATCTGGAGTTTTGTTTCATTCACATATGTTTAACACACAAACCCTGCATATTTAGGCTGAGTTCTTCTCTCAAACAGAAATAGAACCTTGCAGACCACCTTGTGATGTCATGTGGTAATATAGGAAGTGCTCCACTGTGTTTTTAAACTCCATGCAGGTCTGTTTTTGAGGAGGTAACAACATTCTAACATGACTTAAAGCTCACAAGAGTCAATTTTGCCTAATATAGAACCTTTAAAAATAGCTTAATAAATAAAGTGGATTTGATTGTAAAGTTATGGATGCATCTAAACATTTGGTGATTGCATTATATTGTCTGTATTATGAACATTATTGATTCTTTTCTGTGTCAGGCTTCGTGCTCTGTCAGACCTGGACTCTCAGCTGCAGACGCTCCTCCCTGAGTTCCAGAGTCTGACGGAGCTGCAGGACTCTCAGGGGACTCTGGGCGAGGCTCTGATGGACGAGGTGCAGCAGCAGTGGGACGACACCAGGACAGCGCTGGCCTCCAGGTTATAAACATTTTTACATTTTTTATTTATTTATGAGGAAGACCCTTTGCAGAAAGATGAAAGGCTCTGTACCTGATTTTTACTATTTTACAAATGTGGAAAAATAGAAATAGATTTTAAACAGTTTGCAGTTTTCCAAACTTATTTCTCACTTACCTTTTGCATTTGGAGCATTCAAATTATTCAACATGATGAGTTTATAAGCACTTTCTTTATCTGATTATTGGACTATAAAATGTTTTATAAATAGATTCAGATCGTACACAGCAGATTTATTTTAACCTTAAGAGCTGCTTATACAACATATAGAATATGTTGTATTGTCAAATTCTCAAATATACTTTGATAATCTATCATGTAGAAGTCACTCTTACCTTTTCAAAGTTTTCTTAACTTTGTTTAGTTTATTAATTTAGAGTCCTTCATTCTGTTTCCTGTTTCAGGAGGCAGCTGTACACTGGTCTGATGGATTCACTGAAGAAGTTCCCGAGCTGCAGAGGCGTCCTGACCTCCACTCTGCAGAGAGCCGAGCAGACCATCAGTGAACAGGCCTCGTACATGGGCAAAGACAACCTGCACAAGGCCATCACTAAAGTACACAATATTTTGTGTCTTTAATTATGCAGTTTGTAAATAACTCTGAATCAAACTAATGACTAGTAACCCAAAACTATAAAGTAAAAAGTGATTCAAGTTATTCACTATCAATTGCACCTTGTATCTAATGCAGTAATTCCTCATATTTTTAACTCATAGTTTACAAGTTATTTAAAAAATATGGTTAATATTCCTTCACCTATTTTATCTTTTCAAAGTGTGAACTGAAAGCAGCTTTTACCAGTAGAAGCACTAGAGGGCAGACTTGTTCTTTGTGTGAGCTCTTGTCCTGGTTGAAAGCTGCTTCAATATGAATGTACCAAAAATGAGACATGACAGACTTTTACATCCACTGCTTACATTATTGTGTTTTTTGTCGTTAAAACTAGGAGACCTGCTTCTGGCAGTACATTTATGAATCCCTAACCATTTAACAATAATTGTTAACTGTCTTGAATTCAAAAGCTTGGTAAAAAAAAAAAAAAATCTTAAATCTTAAAACATTAACCTTGGACAGTAAGATGGATTCATGTGATATTTGTGAGTTCACAAACTCATGAGAATCCATCTTAAGACACTCGCGCTGTGATGATAATCGAGCAGACCAATCACAGAGCAGCGTTGAGGTTTGTGCAGAAACCAAACGTGGCGACGCCGACACACTCACTTCAGTCTGTTTTAGAGTCAATACAACAGAACTATTTAGTTTGTGAAAAACATACAGAATATCAACAGTTTGTGTGTTTGTGGACAGACAAGATGTCTGTGCTTTTCTCTCAGCTGGATTTAACATATATTTGATTTTTGAGTTTGTTTGTTCCACTGTTGTGACACTTTGACCAATCAGATTCAAATAATCATTATGACGTCGTATGTTTTCAGTGAGAACTGTCCCAGATTGATCATGATAACTTAGTGCAGAGTGACATAGGTTAAAACAACATAGTTCTTTATGGTAACTACATTTTCTGTTGGTAAAGGAGAGTCTAAACATAAGACCTAAAAACTTCAACAGTAACTTTGTTTCATCTTGTGTTTTTTTTTTGCAGGTGGGGGAGATTAAACAGGAGCTGGCCGGTCTGACTGTTCCCATGGAGGAGCTGAAAGCCACATGCAAACAGATTCAGACCAGTCTGAAGAAGATCCCGGACTGTAACCAGACTTCATTTGAGTCTGAGGCCGACTCAATCGTGGACACCTGGCTCGATGTAAGATCATTGGACAAATAAGCTCATAAATAAACTTAGTGCTATTGCATTTATTAAACCACAACCTTTCAAAACAATAAGAGTTAACATGGTGATCTAAATATTATGTGTTAACAGTTAATGCCTCATAGAAGTGTAATACCCCCTTTTTTAAACACAGTTGTCACATTGGCGAAGTTACAAAGCAAAGCAATGTGTTGGTATAAAAAGATACTATTTTATCAGTAACTTTTAAGCATAATATGTGTAAGGTCAGGACTTCTATTTTAAATTCTTAAATGTGAGCGTATATTTGCAAAGACTCCTCTAATATTTGCCACGGTCCAAAACTGGAGCCAGCTGTAGGTCACAGTGACATCCAGAATTCATGTCTCAATTTTACACTGTTTTTGTGGAACTATCCAAAAAAGGAAATCCACAAATGTTCAACCTGATCAAAAGTTCCAAGTTATCCTGCTATACTAGTAATTATCAAACCAAACAACAAAATCCACAGTTTAAAGACTCTGGATTTCTGGTAAATATTTTCCACACTGTAGTTTAACTTGCATTTATTTACTTGCAGGTTGTTTTTATTGCTTGTTTTTATTTGCTTTATTTGCTAGTAAAGCGGGCTTGCATCTCCACAGACCTGACTTATAAACACAGACATTTTATTTGCCCCCATCTGAGTTAAACACTACAGAGATATAGGCGCATGGGAGGGCATCTGACACAATGTTTATAGTTTTATATATGAACATGTGTCTTTATTTTCCAGTTGACAGAGAAGACGGACTCGTACATGGATAACCTGAAGGTGGCGCTGGAGCTGTGGGACAAACAGCTGATGTTGGGGTCAGAGGTGGACAGTTGGGCCGGAGCTAAACTGGCTCTGTTTGCAGCCAGTCACCCCTTCCACAACGAACAACAAGTCTTTGCCATGAGAGTAAGAAATATACAGATGGTTATTAATTGTATTACATTTCATACTTTTTGCTTGGGTTTATTTATTGAATCATTTATCCCAGGTAACAAATAAACATTCCCCCCTCAATATACCCAGAGACAAAAAAGAAGAAAACATGAGAAAATGTTCATTGTTCATCATTAGTTTATGATTGACGGCTACTCTTAAAAATGATTGTTGACTGTCAACAGTTGTTCTCAATTTGACTTGTCAAACAATTATTTCTATTGCATATTGAGATTCTTAATACATTTTTTGACCAAATAAAAAGTTGAAATATGCTGACTGAAGGCTTCTACATAGATCATATTTTAATACACTGTAACACACTGTATGGGTGGAGGTTTGTGACCCACAGGGGGGTCGCTGAGGTACCACAGGGAGGTTGCAAAATCTTTAGTTGATTAGACTTTTTAAAATATATATTTCTTAATTTTTGAAGGATGAGGATGAACTGGTTTTCGGTGCAGCTTGAACTCCAGGCCTGAAGTAGTTTTGGTCAGACTTACTTCTGTCATGAAACGACTTGAGGTTTAAACTGGAGATGGAGTGAGTTTCAGCTCAGGATTTCAGGATAAGCCTGGACTTGTTAAGTGACTTGGATGGAATACTCCCTAGGATTGAATGTACAATAACAGAGTAGCTGTTTGTACACGACACTAGGCCCAATTTAATATAAAACCCAACTGTATGTCATAGATGTAGTAGGAGCTCCCTGATCCAGCTCTCCATCAGTTTGGGGGTCTGTTAGTGTTTATCTTTTTTTTCTGGAATTTTGAATGAATAAAACCACTGTCTTAATTATAAAAGGTCTTTTGGCATGTGTTTTAGAATCTGTATAGTTCAGTTGTAGTCCATTATGAAAACTAGTAGTTAACCAGTAATGATTATTCTGATTAACTGTAGCTCTTGTATAACTTTAGGGAACACCTGATTACAATATATTATATAATAATATTCAATAGTAGTTAACCATTAGGACAGGCTTTGAGGTTTGCAGGATTTGCTTATCCATAGTTCTCAAGTTATTCATCTCATGGAAGTTGACATAATTAATACACAAATAAAAATTATTTATTCTTTTTTATTAGGATGAGATCAACAAGAATGAAGAGAACATCGAACATTTCCACAGGAAGTCTGTGGAAATCCAGGAGATGCTTCAGAGCCGAGAATCGCCTCTAGAACTACAGGTGAGTCAGAACTCTTCAGGTAGAATTATATTAATAATTGTAATTTGGGGAAATATTTTACTGACATGTGTTAATCTGGTGTCAGGTGATAGAGACAGCGCTTCGTAAGCGCATGGAGCAGGTGAAGGAGCTGTTCACAGACTGCACGGACGTGTTTGAGGAGCTGATGGCCGTGAAGAAACATCTGACAGAGAAGGTCGAGGAGAGTCAAAGTGCAGTGGAGAACCTGCAGAGCCAAATCACCAAATGTGACGTGACCAAACCAGACGCAGAGACTCAGATACAGGTGAGAGTGTAACTCATGTAGTGAGAGACATGGAGAGCATTTGTCAACATTTGTATCTTGGAAGACAAAATAGCATAGTAACTAAATGACAGACTAGCACCTGTGTACTTTCAAGATAGCTTAAGATTTCAGAAAAATAAAAAATCCCGTACAACAGATTAAGTTGATCTGGATTTGAGGAGTTCAGCACAAGCAGTATTGTTCATCAGGATTAATATAATAATACAAATACATAGTAATAATAATGGATTACATTTATAAAGCGCATTTTTGGACTCTAAAATATTCATACTTAGACAAGATGGGCAAAGTGCTTTGCCCGAGGACACAAGGACACACCGGTCAGAGGGGGAATTGATCACTGACCTCTAAATCTGTCTGAAATGCTTTAGGTTCATGGGTACTTCAATTTTTTTCTGTTACTCATCCTTACATGACACTTTTAGCAATGGAATTCTCTAAATTATCCATCACTGTGTTCCAGTTTCATTTAGTCTTAGAAGCTAAACCCACATTTCTCTTTTGTCTTTCAGGACCTGTGTGAGGAGCTGGACTCTCAGGAGCTGCAGGCTGAGTCGGTGCTGAAGGAGGTGTCTCTGGTCTCCAGTGTGGCCAGTCCTCAGGCTCTGGAGGCTCTGTCTGTGGACTGCACCAGGACTCCGAGAGGCCCTCAGCAGAACCAGAGAGATGATCCACCTGAAGAGAGAGGAGAGGGACAAAGGGCTGCTCAAAGTACTGCAAGGTACAAAACACCACAGTTTGTCTGATAGGTACTGCAAGGTGATATACACTACCAATATGCCCAAAATACAAGGTAATATAAACAGAAAACAGTTCTGTTTTGATGATTTATCCTTATGATTAGGACTAGTTTTTATCAGTTAAGAAAATAATGACACATTTTAAATAAACAGTTTTTTTGTTTTTTTCTTCAGATGAGAAGCAGTCGTTTGAGGAGTGGTTCCAGGATCAGCAGCTTTCAGTGAACGAGTGCTTTGAGAATCCAGAGAGTACAGCCAACGTGGAGACGACCATCCAGAGACTCACTGTGAGTCTGTACAACACTGTTTCTGCATTATTGTTAACACAAATTTATGCCAGTGGTTTAGCGCCCCCTGCAGGCCTCAGAGCAACATAAAAGTCTTAAAAACCTCTTTTAAAGATTTAGTTTGACTTTTGTGTTTTATATGTCATGTTTTTGTCCTTGTTTTTAGGGTTTCCTGAAGTCCACAGACCCGGAGCGGCGTCTGGACCAGCTCAGAGACCAGGTGAACCGAGGACAGAAACAGATCCCAGACCAAAACCTGGTCGAGATCTCGGACTTCATCAGGGAACAGCAGGAGGAGGTGGACACCTTCAGGACTCACTGTCAGAACAGACTGCTGCAGATGGAGGAGCTGCTCGGTCTACTGCACAGGTGAGGCTGCATCATCCTCCTGGGAATTGTATGAGGAGACATTTGCACCTGGTTTGGACCCAGTTTAAGTTCTAATGTATGTTTGGTTTGGTCCTGTTCTAGTCCTGGTGTAGTCCTGATCAAGTCTTGGTTTAGTGTCATGTTTAATGTGGTGATTGTGCAAGTTTAATGCTCTCTTAGTGACCCATGTATCAAGACTCCAATTTTTTAAATTTGAATGACAGCGCTGAAGCTGCTTATTCTGTGGTGCCCTTCATGTATTAACAGATGCCAGTGATGTCAGTCTTTATATTTTTCTCTTTCTAGTCATCTCTCTATTTGTAAGCAGTAAGTAACATATTTTTAAATGTTTTATTCAGTCTGCAGAAGCAACACAACAGCTTCAGTGAGTGGCTGCAGATGAAGGAGAAACAGGCTCTGGATCCAGAAAGACTCAGAAACCTGCTCAAAGAACTTCAAGATGCAAAGTGAGATGTTTTCTAGAACTGAAATATTTAATTAATGGGCTCTGGCTTTGGGTAACACTTTAAATTTCATGTACATTGTGTGTGACTTTTGCTTTAGATGAAAATAAAGTGAATAACATGAATCTCCTTTTGCTCCTCAGTGCCCGAGTCTCTGCTCTGTCCGACCTCTTGTCCTCGGTGCGCAGACAGGGAGTGAGAGGAGACAGTCTGCTGAAGGACACTGATAACCTGCTCCAGAGATTCAAAAACCTGGAGACCCGAGTCCAAGACCAAGTCCAGACCCAGGACCAGATCCAGGAGAATCTAAACCGGTTTAAATCCAAGACTGACGAAACCAGGAAGTGGATCAAAGAGCTGCTGGAGCCAATCAGCTTCGAGCAAACAGAGAGTGAGCCAGAGGAGGTGAAACGCAGGGCACAGGTGAGATTTTAACACAAATATAATCATTACCGTTTTTAGAATTCTTACCACAAATCTCCTGGTTCCTTTTCCTTTTACCCTTTTTCTGCTTTTAGTGTTAAACTTTTTTGGTTGGAAGCTTGTCCATCATAACACTGCGATTCATTGTATATGGTCTTGTAAGGAATATAAAAACACAATATTTCTGGACTAAGGAAAGTCTAGAACAGAGGTGTCAACTAATTTTGGTCCGGGGGCCGTATCCAACCTACTTTGATCCCAAAGGGCCGAATCAGAAAACTCATGTCATACAAACCCCAAAAATAACAATAAGTTCAAATATTTGTGCAGAGAAACACAAATCTATTCCAGAAATCTTTTTTAATTGATGAACTCTTTCTTTTACAAAATATTATAATATTATGAACAACCTGAAACTTTAAGAAAAATGCAATTTCAACACAATGTTTTAACATGAACTTGTTTGCAAATAGGAATAAGTTGTAAAATCCTGCACTCGGCTCCACTTTTCTCATGTTGGACATTTTTCTGATGAGGGTGTCACGGTCAACAGTCAAAACGATCGTCCTTTAAGAGCGTTTGGAAAGAAACAAATCTTCATTTGTGCTGCTCTGGTGGGAGGGGCCACGTACAGAGACGCTGGAGATGCTGCTTAATAACAATATTTTAATAAAAAATATAATTAAAATATTTTAGTAGAAAATCAGCCGAGGGCCAGATTAAAGGTCTCGGAGGGCCGGATCCAGCCCCCGGGCCGTATGTTTGACACCCCTGGTCTAGAATATGACCTGTGAACCTGTACTCAATATTCTAATATTGGCGCCCAAATAAAATAAATATCAGGTGTGAGGACCCATATATATTTTCTGAATTTAGTACCTGTAGTTACCCAATGATCATTTCTGTGTTCAACTAGTCAGTAATTATTTTTTCAATAAGTTGATTAATTAAAAGATTGTCCATTGAGATTTTTAACCAAATAAAGGTTAAACTATTGTGACTGAGGGATTTTAGTAGTTCTAGATAAAGAATATTCACATATAAAGTGCATTATGAATGAAAATCAGATATTGTAATTCTTTAGTGAGGATACTGATATATCTTTTGTTTTCTGTAGACAATGCTGAAGTCCAAACCTGAAGGAGACTCTAAACTGGAGGATCTGAGACTCCAAAGCCAGACTCTTCTGGACCAGGATCTGGACCAGAAGCAGAGACTGGAGATCCAACAGTGCATCAGAGACACAGAGGAGTCCTGGAGGTCTGCTCTGGACCGGACTGAAGACGCCCTGAAGACCGCAGACACCAGAGTCCAGACCAAAACCCAGACCAGAGCCCAGTTAGACCGAGACCTGGGCGAGTTCAGGGACCAGACCGACGCAGTCCAGACCTGGATCTCAGAGCAGGAGGATCAGCTGCAAAGTCTGAGGCTGCTGCCGGTGACAGAGAGGGTCCAAGTCGCTCAGGTAAGAGACATTTGGTTCCATTACATTATAAAGATCCTGTAGGTTAATACACAGCAAAAACTGGAGGGTTAAAATTTTAGGGTAAAATATTTCAGAGTTGTTTTAAAGACCAAAAAGTGTTATTTTAACTATTTGAAAGTTAAATGGGGGTTTGAGTTTGGGTTATTTGCCAAAGTTGATGTGGTTGAGGTTAATTCAACTTCTCTTAGAGTTAATTTGGCTCCTCCCATTCACCACTTCAAACTCTTGTGAGAGGAAGACCATTTGAACCAGTTTTGTACATAATTTCATCTTAAATGAACTAAAATAAAGTAAAAATAAAATAAAACGCCTCTGTGTGTTGTTTATCAAAATCAGGATAACACTACAAAGTGTTATCTGTTTACTCTCAAAACGTGAATATAACTCTGGATTTTGGGGTTTAACAGGAATTTTGGTCCAGTGTTATTTAATTAACATTTCCAAAAATGTTAAATTAACTCTAGAACAGACTGGACTCAGATAAACCCTGAGAAAATGTTCAAATTTATTCTGTAAGAGTCAATTTTAACACTCCACTTTTTGCTGTGTATTTAGGTGGAGGGTTGGTAATATGAATCTAAATGGTCACACAATTCTATCATGTGATTATAGCCTTTTAATACAATTATATTTGTTTGTAAAAATCTTGTAAAACTTAACATTATGTACTGAAAACTTTTAATTAATGAACAATTCTTATTACTGAAGCTTCATTTAAACTTATGTGTGCTGAACTTTAAACTATTTCTGAAATGTTTACCCTAAGCTTTTTTTCCTGGCTATACTTTGGTTTCAACTTTGCTTATCTTCTCTGGGGTTTTTTTTCTGTTACTTCTGAATATGAGGGGTTTTCAAATTCCATAGTGATTTCCACCCACACTTTAATAATTCCTGTACTATTGTATCAATTATACTAAATAACTGTAGCACTAAATCTGTAGACTGAATACTGAAAACCCCCTCATCCTCCTGCTATACCCGCTAGGGCTGAAAGATTTGGTAAAAATATCTGATTAAAATTTTCTGACTTTTACGATTTATGTTTTAATAATAAGTTTCTTGTCAAATTTCACGTGCATCCAGAAGAATTGACAAAAAGACTGAAATATGAACTGACAAACTAATACAAGGATCACATTTCAGAACATGTTTGTACAAATCTAAACTACAGGGTTAGTAGTTTTTATTCAGAATAAGTTAAGAGATTTTGTTGTTTAGGAAAAAAAAAATAGTACTTCAAAAACTACAGCCTTTTCGATTTGTTAATTATGTTTGTTCAAATCAAAGTTTAGATTGGATTGCGGTTATTCTTGCAGCTTTTCTATCTGCTATATTTTCCTTCCATTTATGCTTCCTTGCTCCCTTGTCTCCTTTCCTCCCTCCTTCTGTCCTTCCTTTCTCTCTTTAGTCCTGTGTGAACTCCAAACCCAAAGGCGACTCTTTGGTCCAGGATCTGAAGCGTTTGTACCAAAATCTGTCCCAGAACCAGACGTTGGACGATTCCCAAAGACGTGCCGTAGAAGACGCAGTGAAAGAGACAGAGGAGCAGTGGAGCGGAGTTTCCCGAGCTGCAGAAAAGGCCCTGAACGTAGCACAAGGCGAGGCTGCAGTTCAGAGGGACTTTGAGGCGTTCAGGGACCAATGGGAAAAACTACAGACCTGGATCAGAGAGCAGAAACAGAAGATCATGTCCATACCAGCACTGGGGACGTTTGAGGAGAGGCTGCAGCTCGCTCAGGTATGGGTGAAATATACAGTAGGAAAAAACGGAGGCACTCAAAAAGTACAAAATAATGAAAAGTCTTTAATATCACATGGTAGATGAAGTTCAAATCACTCCAACACGTTTTGGCCCAAACTGGAGATGGATATCACAGTGCAGGTTTAAAGTTCTAGGTGTAGGTCACATGTTCACAGTGACTGGCCCACAGTCCACTGATGCATGATGGGACATGTAGGCTTAACATATTTTAGTTACAAACTATTCAAGTTTAAATATAACACAAGATATAAATAGTACAAATCCCAACAACCAATACATAGAAAGATACATAGTATAAAAATACATAGTATAAAAAGATACATAGTTTAAGAATATATATAGTGCAAAAATTCAAAAGTGCTACAGATATAACTATAATTTGTATAATATATTAAAGGGTTAGTCTTAAACAGTTTCATGGAGATCAAAGTGTTAAAAATAGGAACAAATTGCACATTTCAAGCTTGTAGTTTTAAAGGAAGGGGGAGAAATCTAACTCCATTGAGTCCTGGAAACTGGGTGGCCTTGAGAGTGTAGATCCAGCAGGACTCTCTCTGTAAGAGTTTTTTCAGTCTGTCTCCTCCTCTTATTGTTTCTTTAATATGTTCAATTGCACAGATTTTTAGGCTTTTACAGCTGCCATGTTTGGCTTCTTTGTAATGCATGGGGACTGTGGGCCAGCCCACTGTGAACATGTGACCTATGCCCCTATACCTATTACTTTACTGTGATATCCACCTCGAGTTTGCCCTGATGAAGCCGAAGGGTCGAAAGGCGTTGGTGTGATTTTAACTTTATCTGCCATGTGGTATTAAAGGCTTTTAATTATTTTGTACTTTTTGAGTGCCTCAGTTTTTTCCTACTTTGTATTTGAAACTGGTTCCTACACTGAAGACACCAAAAGGACAATTCTGCACAATTTTTGTATATCCAAGTAGCACTCCTGCCCCCAAAGCTTTGGGTGAAATGTTTTTGTTATTCCTAATCAAAATTCATATATATGTTGTTAGGAATGAATCAAGCGAACACAATTATGACTAAAACTGGACGAAAAAGTGTAAAAAATTTAATAAAAGGGTCCAAACTAGACAGAAACCTAAAAACACTAAACTTATTTGATAATTATTTCTATCTTGAAGCATTCAGTTTCCATATTTTATTAAAATATCTTCAAATAGTTCAAATTTACAACAAAAATAATTGTTTGACTAATCAATCATTATTTCTGATCGGTCAATTATTAAAATAATCCCTATGTAGCCCCAGTGACTTGACAGTAAGTTCAAGCATTGTATACAAGTTAAGGTTATTTAAGACTGTTTATTTGATACTGTACTGTACTGAAACTGTACGTTATCTATGTCTCCAGTCTGTTCTGAACTCCAGACCTGAAGGTGACTCAAAGCTCCGTGATCTGAGCAGACAGGCCCAGAGTCTGGTCCAGAGCCCAGACCTGGACCTGCCTCTGAGGGCCGAGGTGGAGAGGATGGTCCTGGACACGGAGCAGCAGTGGAGGACAGTGCTGCAGACGGCCACTCAGGCTGAACTCAAGAGTCTGTCCGACGACTTCGAAAACCAGAGTCAGAGCACCCAGAGCTGGATCAGAGAGAGACAACAGCTACTGCACAGTGTGGGAGCACAGGCCCCGCCCCACCAGAGGATAGACACCTGCACAGGTATGAAGAAAGAGGTTTGAAAATATACAGTATTGTATTTTCCGGGCTATTAGGCGCTCTGAATTATAAGACGAACTGTCATTAAATGGTCTATTTTTGAACTTTTTTCACAAATAAACTGCACCGAACTATAAACGAAACCCAACAGTGTGATGGGTGAGTGGTTTTGTTTGTTTGTTCGTTCACGGTGACTCTGGGCTTTGTTCAGTTGTGGCGTGTAGGGAGGGTGTGTCTGGGACCAACGGATTGTCGGCGTGTTCGCAGTGACTCAGTTGTTCAGTTGTGTCTAGAAGTGGCACATTGCACTCACTTTTTCGGTTCGTTCCTCCGTTCCGTTCCTCGTCGGCGTGGAGTGATGAGTGTGTCTGTGGGTGTTTGTCGCTGTGCGGTCGCTGTCTGCTCCATGTGTGTTTGTGTGTTCTGTGGGTGGACCATCTTTATAGTTTACTGAAGTCGTGCTGGGACACCTGAGTGGATTCATGTATAGGGTGCTCTGATTGCGGGGTGCATGGTCATTTTTTGATGGGGTTAGAGGCTTAAGAGCGCAACTAATAGCCCGGAAAATACAGTATATACTACGAGTCAGGTTTGGACACACTGTTTCATTCATATTTTTTATTTACACTGTAGATTCTCAATGAAGGTGTCAACACTATGACTGACATATATGGAATGTAGAAAACAGAAAAAATAACTCAACTGTAGTTTTTTTAGTCACCATTTGTTTTGATCACTGCTTTTGACAAGTGGCCTTCCTTGACCCAGAGACATGGTGCACCGGTGAAGTGAAGACAAAACCATATCAGGAGACTTAGGCCCCGTCCACACTAGTTTGTATTTGAGTCATTTTGGTTGTGGATGCAGTGTTCGTTCACACTAATCCGATTGAAAACAGCTCCAGAGACGGAATGATCTGGTGCCTCCAGCTCCCACGACTTCATCTGAGTACAGATCTGATCCAGCACTGTGTGAACGCACACTGATACTCTGATGTAGGTCTATGAACCGTGAAGTAATTCACCACCAAAACGCTAAGAGGCTAGAATATCTGTCCATTCATATAAACGTGTGTCTGTGTGTACGACCTGCAGACGGATAATCTCTGAAAAGTTTAACATGAACCATCTCCAACGCGACAGAAGCACAGAACAGACTCACCACACCACCACAAATATGTTCAAAGCTGTGTGGACAGAGAAGACTTGTGGACACAGAAACGATATGATTCTGATATGGTGAAACGGTGATTCATTTCAGTGTAGATGTAGTCTTAATCATGAAGCTCATTGAGGAGAAGGCCAAGAATTTGCAGCCCTGTCGACAAAGCAAAGGGTGGACACTTTGAGGATCTGAAAATAAAATATAAAAATATTTAGTTGTATTGTTCTTTACTACATAATTCCATCCCCTATATCTTGCTTCCTATATTTATGTCTTTTGTCTGTACCAAAAATGTAGAAAGTAGTAAAAAATAAAGAAAACATTGACTGAGAAGGTGTGTCCAAACTTTTGTCTGGTCAAAAGTAAGGACAGACAAATATTGATCTTTTATCATTTTAGTTAGTATTTTGATGTGATATCTTTTAAATTGCTGCTTCTTTTACATTTTGTTACATCTCTAATCATAATCTTGTGTATTTTTAGGCTGTGCTGAACACCAAACCCGATGGCGACTGTAAAGTGAATAACTTGAGGAGAAGAGGGCAGAATCTGAGTGACCACAGAGACCTGAGTGACAGTCGCAGACAGCAGCTCCAGCAGACGGTCAAAGACACAGAGGAGCAGTGGAGGAACCTGCTCCAGAACGCTAAACAAGTCCAGAGCACAGCAGAGGAGCAGGCCCGAGAGGAGGAGGAGAGCAAGAGGAAACAGGTGAGAGGAGAGGAGGAGGAGAGCAAGAGGAAACAGGTGAGAGGAGGAGAGGAGGAGGAGAGCAAGAGGAAACAGGTGAGGAGGAGGAGAGGAGGAGGAGAGCAAGAGGAAACAGGTGAGAGGAGGAGAGGAGGAGGAGAGCAAGAGGAAACAGGTGAGGAAGGAGAGGAGGAGGAGAGCAAGAGGAAACAGGTGAGGAGGAGGAGAGGAGGAGAGCAAGAGGAAACAGGTGAGGAAGGAGAGGAGGGAGAAGAGAACAGGTGAGGAGGAGAGGGGAGAGCAAGAGGAAACAGGTGAGAGGAGGAGAGAGAGGAAACAGGTGAGAAACAGTGAGGAGGAGGAGGAGAGAGAGCAAGAGGAACAGGTGAGGAAGGAGAGGAGGAGGAGAGCAAGAGGAAACAGGTGAGGAAGGAGGAGAGAGGAGGAGAGCAAGAGGAAACAGTGAGGAAGGAGAGAAGGAGGAGACAAGAGGAAACAGGAGAGGAGAGCAAGAGGAAACAGGTGAAAGGAGGAGGAGAGGCAGAGGAGAGAGAGGAGGGAGAAGAGCAAGAGGGAAACAGGTGAGGAAGGGAGAAGAGGAGAGGAGAGCAAGAGGAAACAGGTGAGGAGGAGAGGAGGAGAGAGCAAGAGGAAACAGTGAGGAAGGAGAGGAGAGCAAGAGGAAACAGCAGTGAGGAAGGGAGGAGGGAGAGCAAGAGGAAACAGGTGAGGAGGAGAGGAGGAGGAGAGAGAGGAAACAGTGAGAAGGAGAGGAGGAGGAGAGCAAGAGGAAACAGTGAGGAGGGAGAGGTGAGAGGAGGAGGAGAGGTGAGGAGAGCAAGAGGAAACAGGTGAGAAGGAGAGAGGAGGAGAGCAGAGAAGGAGGAGGGGGAGAGGAGGGAGAAGGAGGAAGAGGAGAGCAAGAGGAAACAGGTGAGGAGGAGAGGAGAGAGCAAGAGGAAACAGGTGAGGAGGAGAGAGAGGAGAGCAAGAGGAAACAGGTGAGGAGAGAGAACAGGAGAGAGAGGAGGAAGAAGGTGAGGAGGAGGAGAGGAGGAGGAGGAGAGAGAGAGGAGGTGAGAAGGAGAGGAAGAGAGCAGAGGAAACAGGTGAGAAGAGAGGAGAGAGAGGCAAGAGAAAAGTGAGGAAGGAGAGAGGAGGAGAGCAAGAGGAAACAGGTGAGGAACAGGAGGAGAGAAGGAGGAGAGCAAGAGGAAACAGGTGAGAGGAGGGAGAGGAGGAGGAGAGCAAGAGGAACAGGTGAGGAAGGAGGAAAGGAGGAGGAGAGCAAGAGGAAACAGTGAGGAAGGAGAGGAGGAGGAGAGCAGAGAGAGAAGGAGGAGAGCAAGAGGCAGTGAGGAGGGAGAGAGGGAGAGCAAGAGAAACAGGTGAGAGGAGAGAGGAGGAGGAGAGCAGAGAGGGAAACAGGTGAGGAAGGGAGGAGAGAGAGAGCAAGAGAAACAGTTGAGGAGGAAGAGGAGGAGAGCAAGAGGAAACAGGTGAAAAGGAGGAGGAGAGGAGGAGGAGAGCAAGAGGAAACAGGTGAGGAAGGAGAGGAGGAGGAGAGCAAGAGAAAAGGGGGAGAAGGAGGAGGGGGAGAGCAAGAGGAAACAGGTGAGAGGTAGGAGGAGAGAAGGAGGAAACAGATGAGGAGAAGATAGAGAGGAGGAAGGAGAGGAGGGGGAGAGCAAGAGGAAACAGGTGAGGAAGGAGAGGAAGAGGAGAGGAGGAGACAGGTGTGAAGAAAAGGGGGAGGGGAGAGAAGAGAGTGAACAAGACAAAACAGAACAAAAAACAGAAGGACGAGAGGAGGAGAAAATGGGTGAGAAGGAGGAGAAGGAGAGCGTGAGAATACAGGTGAAAAGAAGGAGGAAAGGAGGAGGAGGAAACAGATGAGGAGGAGAGAGAAAGGAGGAAGGAGACGAGGAGGAGAAGAGGATTGAAGAGAGAGCAAAGCAAAGGAGTAGGTTCAAGAGGAGGAGGAGAGCAAGAGGAAACATGTGAGGAAGGAGAGGAGGAGAGGAGGAGACAGGTAAGAAGAAAAGGGGGAGGGGAGAGAAGAGAGAGAACAAGAAAAAACAGGTAAGAATGATGAGAGGAGAATACAGGTAAGAAGAAGGAGGAGAGGAGGAGGAGGAAACAGATGAGGAGGAGAGAGAGAGGAAGAAGGAGAGGAGGAGAAGAGAAGTGAAAGCACAGCAAAGGAGTATGTCAAGAGGAGGAGGAGAGCAAGAGGAAACAGGTGAGAGGAGGAGGGAGAGAGAGGGAGGAAGAGGAGGAGAGTAGGAGGAAGTAAGTGAGAGGAGGTAGAGAGGGGTGAACAAGATGAAATGGGTGAAGAGTGAGAAAAGCAGGTCTTGTTTTCTTGGTTCAGTAAAAATCAAATATTGCTACTGAGCTGAATAGAAGGTGTTTATTAATGTTGCATATTATTTATGGTTTTGTAGCTGAAAGAGTTTGTCTCCCAGAAAGAGGAAACCCGTTTGTTCCTCAGAGATCTTCAGCAGAAACTGTCGTCTGTGAAGGAGCAGCCCACAGCAGAGGACAGACTGCACACGGCTCAGGTAAAAAGATCATGTTTACACTCTTGATGCTGCATACAATTGAAGAACAACTATTATATAAATTGTATATTGTTCATGAACTGGTTGAGCCATGTAGTCATTGAAAGATTCTGACTTTATTGTATTAAAAATTGAAAAATAAACTATCCTTATAAAGCATTTCATTTGTTACTTTCTATTTTACAGTGCATACTAACATACATGAAGATTCACACACACAGTAGTTTCCTCTTTTCTGCATCACTCAAGGAAAAACTCAAATTAAAACACAACTCTATCCATGCCAGTCCTTCTTTCCCACAATCAGGGACTAATTTATCTCCATAAAATGCTTCTTTATTAATAGAAAAACAGATCAATAGTTAATAAGTCACCTGTTTGCAGAATAATACTGTAGTTGAAGACATATAACCCAAGTTTATATGAACCATTTGACTTTTCCAGGCCATTCTAAGCTCCAAAGCAGAAGGAGACTCCAAACTCCAGGAGCTGAGGAGGAGAGGCCAGAGTTTACGCCCAGACTTAGACGAGCAAACCAGATCAGACGCGTCCAGGACGGTGGAGGAGATGGAGGGGCAGTGGACAGAGCTGCTGCAGGACGTGAGGCAGATCCTGGGTCAGTCTGAGCGGCAGTGTGCTCTGGAGAACCTGATGAAGGAGTACAACCAAACCAAAGAGAAGACCACTGCCTGGGTCCAGGAGAAAGAGGATCGAGTGAAGAGTGTGGGCGTGAACACAGAGCCAGAGCAGACCATCAACACTGCACAGGTGGGGAACACAGACGACAATGAGCCCTGTTTTCTTACATACATCACACTCACTTCTATGGGCTTTTAATCGTTAGCACATAACATATTTAGATCACATTTATTGTTTTGAAAGTGTGTTTAGTTGCAGTGCTTTTGACGGTTTCAGTTCCCCTTCCCTTGCTCCTGCACTAAGTCACCCCCCCTTCATAAAACAATCAGCTTGCATTTCACTAATGAAACTACTGCACTTCACATCAAGTTTGTGAAGTTGTAGTGTATTGTTTCATATCCTGTGCTTGTATATTTTGAAAAATGGCTGGTGACGTAGGCTTGTGTTTAGGGGTGTCAAATTATCGTGTTAATTGCGATTAATTAATTACAGTCATATTTAGCGCGTTATGTTTTTTAATCGCGTTACTCTAATTTGATAGTCAAGGTCAGTTAAACACAATCAATCAATGAATCTGCCCAGGGACGACAGGTGGAAATTAGCACTGATGCTACAACCTGATTTACAATGCATCTCTCCTGTTAAGGTAAATGCAAAAATTGTGCGCTGTCCCTGTCTCAAATAAATAAATAAATTAATTAATTAATACATTTTTAATCTCTAACTTTTTCTGTTTTTGTGTGCGAGTTGCCTTATTATAAAATCAGTTTTTATGTGTTGTTGGGACACATCACTCCCGCAAAGAATTGTAATTTTCATTCCCGTTCTCGCCGCATCTGTGATAAACCTGCACATGTCTGATCTCTGAAAACATCATGACACAAACAGAACAGACTCACCTTCATCAGAACATCCCTCTGTCACAGAAACAACACTCATATTCCACTGAGTCGTGTCCTTTAGTCCGACAGAAGCTGAACTGCATCATTGACACGAGCGTTTTTTTTTTTTTTCTCTGCTTAGTTTATGCAAATGAGTCATGTGGTTTTAAGTTTGGTTTCTGTGAGACTTGTGCAAATCTGCATTAAACACATTCTAATGTGAAACGGGCTGATGTGGCTCTAGAGTGATTATGGTTTATATGTTGTAAAGTTGAGTTTATTAATGCAGATTAGTAATAGTAATAATAATGATGATAAAAGTTTAAAGTTTGTTAAACAATAAATGACTTTATAAAGTCACTTTTTTTGTTCTATATCAGTCTTTTGATCTGCCACAATAATGTAATAATGAATTTAAATGAAAATACCTCAAGTTGAAACTTTTCTCAGCAATTTTTAGGTGAGATTAAAAAAGAGATTAATTAGATTAATTAATTACAGATCATAAATAATTAATCTCTCAATTTTTTTTGTCTCTTGACAGCACTAGTTGTGGGTTGAGTCTTGTTCTGCCAACCATAAGGGAGAGATCGATTACTCAAATATTAAAGTTGTATTTTTGTTTTTAGATGATCCTGAGCTCCAAACCTGAAGGTGACTCTAAACTCTCAGATCTGAGGAGACAAACCCAGAGCCTGTTGGACCGTGACGATGTGGACGAGGACACGAGACACCAGGCGGACCGGGTGCTGACAGAGGCAGAGTACCAGTGGAGGGACGTCTTACAGAAGGCGGAGGAGATGCTGAAGAGAGCCCAAGACCAGTACACCGTCCACAGGGAGATGGACGCCTTCAGAGCCCAGGCCACAAGCACCGAATCCTGGGTACAAGATCTACGACGGCAACAGGAGGAGAAGGGAACTGGAGCTACAGGCACACAGGCGGAGATAGAACAGAGACTCAACACTGCACAGGTGTGTAGAATATCTGTTATTTTAATTCACTTTCAATTAATTAAGAAAAACAAGATTAAGTTCACTATGTATTTATAAAAGATGAATATAAAGACCTAAACTACAGCGGGTACCATTTTTACATAATTAAATTAATTAAATTTTGCCGGCGTTTGTCTGTTTGTTTGTTTGTTTGTCTGTTTGTTTGTTTGTTTGTTTGTTTGTTTGTTTGTCTGTTTGTTTGTTTGTTTGTTTGTTTGTCTGTTAGCAACATAACTCAAAAAGTTATGGACCGATTTTGATGAAATTTTCAGGATTTGTTGGAAATGTGAAAAGGAAGAACTGATTTCATTTTGGGGGTGATCCGGAAGAAACCCTGGATTCTGGATCACTTTGAAATTTTAGCTAACATTGTGGTAAATGGGGCCAAAAATTTTGTTTCTCAATATCTCGGTTAATTATTGACCAAACCCCATGAAATTTGACTCAGGGATGGACAATGGGATCCTCTTTCATATTCCAAAGGCTGATCCGGATCTGATCCAGAAGACTGATTTTATCGCAATTTAGATAAAAAATGGGGGTAGTCCTTGGCGGAGGTCTGCGCTCTCTGAGTGCTTTTCTAGTTTCATCTGGTTCTAATAAAACTATAACTAATATTTTATTTTGGTTCATCTAAATGTTGAGTGATGTAAGTAATACCTTGATCAACTTGTTTCTCCTCAGATGGTGTTGGGCTGCAGACTGAACGGGGACAGTCAGATGGTGGAGCTGAAGACACGAGTTCAGAGTCTGAGCGAAAACCCAGATCTGGACCAGGAGCAGAGAGATGAGATCCAGAGGAGAGTGAGAGACACAGAGGAGACGTGGAGGCAGGTGCTACAGACAGCAGAGCAAAACCAAAGGTATAAACACAATCAGGTTTACCTGTGTCTGATAAAGGATACCTGCCTGTATCCTTTAAATGAATTTGTTGTCTGATATAGTAACTAGTTGTGTGAACTAGTGAGATTGTCAGCTCAGCAAGTGTGTGAGAGTGAATGAAATATAACTACAGTTTAGTTTGGGATATAAGCATTGATAAATAAAAGAAATGAAATCCAGGCACTCCGGAAAAGTCAAAGTTACATGAGGAAAACTATAGTTTGAAAACCTTTATTTAAATTGCTACTGGTCTTCATCAGGGCTTAATAATAATTCTAATGAAAACCAGTCATTGTCGAAACATGTTGGCTTTGGCCATTTAAATAAAAGCCTTTTTATTATACTTTTCTTTGTGCGACTTTTGCTCTTTGGCTTTTGTTTTGTTTAAAGTTTTGATTTCCAAGAGCGCCCTCTACCTGTTCTCACTGATTGGAACACCTTCAGCAAACAGCCACATTTAAATTTTTCTATATTCATAAATAGAATTTGTGGCATAAATAGAATTTGCATAATATGTATTCTAACTGTCTAATATTTCATTCTGTTCAGTGAAGAAGATGAAACGTAACTATATTACCCATTTATTTATTTTTTAATTTTTTTATTCTCTCTCTTATGTTCCTCTCTCCAGTTCTCTGCAGGGGGTTCTGGAGCGTCTGGTCTCCTGTCAGAAGCAGCGTTCTCAGCTCTCGTCTCGTCTCTCGGAGCTGCAGACTCAAACCTCAGACCTCCCTCGGGTTTTCCCCTGGCCCGGACTCGGAGAGAGGAGACAGACTGCCGACCAAACCAGGAACATGATTGACCAGATCAGTGCACTAGCTCCACTGCTCAGAGACACACGCACACAGGTAAACACAGATCAGGTCAGTCGGGCTAAAGACAGTTCAAATACCTATAAATAAAAATCTGTGTCTTATTTATAGAGTTCAGTTATTTAAGTAGGATTTGTAATGCTTGATGAAATAAAACATTTTTGGTGGGATTTGTCCAGCGTAATGTTGTTGTAGTTGTCAGCAATTATGGTCATTTTGGTGCTAATTGCTAATTCAATAAACTACAGTAACACTTCTACTTATGTCATGTTTTCTCGCAAGGCTCTGATGTTACGCTTGTGTGGTCAAGTTGCCAAAACCCGTTTTTACAAATGCTTTGGAGAATGCATGGTCTTTACGCAGGCTTTTGTTTGCAAACACTGTAACAGTTCATTCATCATAGTTGCTTGGTTTTTTCAGGCTGCAGAGCTGGCAGAGTTGACCCAGGACCCGAGCTGGACCTCCTCAAACTGGGATGAGATGGAGCAGTGCATCCCTGACCTGCTCAAGAAGCTCACGGTGAGTTCCAATAAGGCATAGTACACATGACTCCTACAGGAACATCTTTATGGAGACAAAGAGATGATGGAGTTACATACTTACCTAGTAAACTTGGTTGAAGTGTTTTTATTTTGTTAGACTCATAACCACGACTCAGGACTAATAGAATAAACCTCTGTGTGTGTTAGGAGTCCCTGAGTTCTCTGGAGGAGGGCATCTTAGCAGAGCGTCAGTGCACTCAGCTGATGGAGCAGCACGAGGCAGCACAGGACTGGCTCCGAGAACAGGTCAAAGCTCTGGGACCGGCCCCTCAAGATAAACAAGGACTTCACAGCGCCATCAACACTCTCAAGGTAAAGAAACGCTGTATATACTACTCCATAATTACACATAGCATGAGCAAAGACTTCATTTATATGAACAAATAGTTTATTAGGAATGATTCAGGCTTTGTAATTAATACCCAGCTTCTGACCTTAAGACCTTAATTAAGTAGTTATTAAATAACTTTGTGGAGATGGTGTTGCTTTGCCTGGAATGGAGACAAGCATGTGGCCAACCTTACACCAGAAAGTTACACAGTGCTCCTTTAAAGAACATTTTTGGCTTTAAAATCATTAACCAAAGCTTAAACAAATCTAGTTTAAAGAAGGAAGTTACAGATTTGTTTACTTCTATACATATGTTTCAATTGCCACATTGATTTATAAGAATATACAGTATGAGCTATTTATTTTTTATTTATTTATTTGTTTGTTTGTTTGTTATTCCAGGCCCTGCTGCAAACGGTGCACAGGGAGCAGAGGGAGATGTTGGAGTTGGACCAGGCAAGAGACAGACTGTTAAACCTGTGCACTCCTGGAGGACAAGACGCTCTCAATCTGGACGTCAGCCATCTTCACGACCTCTGCGCGACCTCCGAACAGGAAGTGAAGCAGCACCTGACTTCCTGCGAGGCGCGTGTGGAGGAGCTGGAGCGGCAGGTGGAGCAGAGGGCGGAAGGGCTGAAGGAGAGGACCTCCGCTCTGCAGTGGGAGCTCCGGTCTCTGGACCAGGCTCTGAGCTACAGCCAACCACAAAACAACATCAGCCAGCTCCAGCAGCACTGGAACAGCCTCAAGGTTACAACTTACTTCACTTATGGACATATAATCTCAATCAATGTTTTTTTTTCTTTTTTCTTACCACTTTCAACATTTTATATATACATATACATATTTTTATATATACATATGGAAGATATCAGATTTATGAAGCCAGATATATGGAATCATTTTGTAAAGAAAAAAGCTCTACTAAATTACAAAGCAAAGCTTGGCTAATTTGATGATGATGCATCAGTTTTATATTGCACTTTTTTGGACACTCAAAGACGCTTTACAGAGCATTATTCATTCACTCCAGACCCGGTGGTGGTAAACTACGACTGTAGCCACAGCTGCCCTGGGACAGACTGACAGAAGCGAGGCTGCCAATCGGTGCCATCGGGCCCTCCGACCACCACCATCACTCACACACACACCACTTTCATACTAGGCAATGAGGGTGAAGTGCCTTGCCTAAGGACACAACAACAGTTTTTTTTTACGACTGGCACCTCCCTGTGGCACCTGATTTTTCCCAGTGTCTCCCATCCAAGTACTAACCAGACCCGGCCCTGCTGAGCTTCTGAGATTTGACGGGATCAGGCTTTGACAAGCCGTTATGACCACATACAGTACTAATTCTGAGGATTTGTTTCTTACTTCATATATTTGATTTCTGCTTTATGTATATCAAATGTAGAAAGTTGTAAACAGAAAAAAAAAAACATTGAATGGGAGGGTGAGTCCAAACTTGATTGGTGGTTTACTAAATACATTGAGATTTTTAAAAAATATATTATTTGGAAATACTACCCCCTAGCCATGCCTTCAAAACTTAACTTAACCTTTACATGCAAATAAGCTTTTATTCTAGTCTTAAAGGTTTTTTTTGGGCAGCATTGTACTTACATTTTTATACTATACGTTTACTTTTTCACTTGCTGTACTCGATTTTTACTGTGTTAAAACTTGAAAAACAGAACTACTGTTGTTCATTTGAAAGAGTTTGGAAGTGTCCCAAGTTCTTCCTCACTTACCGTATGCATTCAGAGCATCATAATTATACACTGGAATGAGTTTATGAGCACTTTTCACAACAGATCACAGTGGAGTTTTGCCATAACAGTAAAGCCAACAACAATAAAAAGCTTTCTAATTGGATGCAGACACCAAGAGCTCAATAGCTGCTCATACAACATGTTTGTACAGAGGCAAGACACATTTTGCTCAAATACATGGGGAAGAAAATCAGATAAAGGACCTTTTACAAGAGAAACCTGGCTATGGTTGCAGCCAGCATAATCAACACAGTACAGAAAGTCCCCAAAATATTGAATTACACAAACCCAAACACTCCCCTTTAATCACTCGCTTTTAACAGGTTTGTGATGACTAATAGTTTGTTTTCCTTCAGAACTGTGAGAAGTCCCTGGAGGGTTTGAGAGTGAAGCTGGATGAGCTGCTCAAGGAGGTGGCCTCAGCTCCACAGACAGAGGAGCTCCCCACAGACGTGACTACACTGGTCAAGTCTCTATCCCAGCAACACGACAGGTAAATCATGTGATGAATCTCAAACCTTACTGATGCATTATGGGTCCATATTACGATATTTTCTGATCTATGTTATAATGTTGTTTCCTCATCACAAACAGACCTGAAGTTGTGTCTTGTTTCATTCACACAAACCCTGCATATTTAGGATCAGTTCTCCTCTCAAACAGAAAAAACACTCTTCCACCTTGTAATGTCATGTGGTAATACAGGAAGTGCTCCACTGTGTTTTTAAACTCTATGTACCGTATTTTCCGGGCTATTAGTCGCGCTCTTAAGCCTCTAACCCCATCAAAAAACGACTGTGCGCCGCAATCCAGAGTGACCTGTACATGAATCCACTCAGGTGTCCCAGCACGACTTCAGTAAACTACAAACACACACCACCCGCAGAACACACAAACACACACGGAGCAGACAGCGACCGCACAGCCAAACACACCCACAGACACACTCATCACTCCACACCGACGAGGAACGGAACGGAGGAACGAACCGAAAAAGCGAGTGCAATGTGCCACTTCTAGACACGACTGAACAACTGAGTCACTGCGAACACGCCGACAATCCGTTGGTCCCAGACACACCCTCCCTACACGCCACAACTGAACAAAGCCCAGAGTCACCTGTGAACGAACAAACAAACAAAACCACTCACCCATCACACTGTTGGGTTTCCATTTAAAGTCCCGGTGCGGTTTATTTTTGAAAAAAGTTTGAAAATAGACCATTTAATGACAGTGTGCCTTATAATCCAGAGCACCTAATAATGCGGAAAATAAGGTACCTTCACTAGAATCATTTGGATGATTTCAGCTCTAGAATTGCCTATTTCTGCTGAACAAAATAGTAATAAAAGGTAGCTGAAAATGACTGCTTCATAATATCACAACGTGGAACAGAGCATTTTGAACCTTGAGGATGTTGTAGGTGTTCACTCAAACATGTGTGAATGAAACAAAACACAACTCCAGGTCTGTTTTTGAGGAGGTAACAGCATTATAATATGGCTTAAAGCTCACAACAGTCAATTTTGCAATACTCAAAAGTATAAGTAAAGTAAAAGTAACGGTCACAAATTAACTTCACTTTTATAAAAAATAATAACCAATTGTATAAAATTATTATGTTACATGTTGGTGTAACATACAGCCATATAATATAATGCTCTGTTTTAATTATTTATTTAGAATAATTAAAAAGGAGCACACAGAGAATGGGGCAGCACACAAAAATATCTGTTTAATGTATCGGTGCCAAATATTGTTATCAGCTAATAACGATATCAAAGCATTTGCCTTAATATCTGATGAGACCGATACTGGAATCATATCACATTTTTACAACAATGATCACAATGCAGACTTTATGACAATTCATGCAGTTAGAATCATTATACATGTCATTAAGAGGTAACTCAAGGAAAGATCATGGTTCATCCCCATGTCACTTAACACTAACTAATTGTTAATAACTAGTATTAAGCCGGGTGTACACTGTGTGATTTATGACCTTTTTTGAGCCGATTTTTCACTCGTGCGACTATTTTGGGGATCATGCCGAGTTTTGGCTTCATCGTGTGTCGTGCTTCATGTAGTAAACATGGGGTAAAGAACCGATTAATACCTCACGACCAGCTCCGATCGACATTCGTAGGTTGCAAGAAAATCAAACTTGTTTGAAATCCAGTCGCCTCTCGTGAGGGTTTCACTCTGTTGAAGTAGTTCCGCAAGCTGATTTGCCAGAATCTGTCAGACTGAGCATGTGCGGACACAGAAGCAGAAGCAGGATATGAGGTTGTGGAGGACGATGGCGCCGGCGAGTGTTTTGGACACAGGACATGGAGGAGCAGCTAATCCAGCAACACAGAACAGAAGTTTCACCAGCTTGGTGAAAAACTTGATGCTACTTACCTCCAGTTCCTTCTGAAGAACTGACAACCCGCACTGCCCACGTCTGCCCACGTCTGCCCACGTCTGCCCACGTCTGCCCACGTCTGCCCACGTCTGCCCACGTCTGCCCACGTCTGCCCAGCCATTTCTTTGACCAGATTCGTCGCCTCTTCTTTTTGGGCTTGTCTGCGCAGAGAATGACACAAATTACCAAGGCAGCACGTCTGTTTTTTGCCTGGATCAGCATTGTGTGTCTGCACTGTGGTTTTCTAATTCTGTGGTTTTCTACTTCTGGAACAACAACTCCGGTCGTTATGTGAACGTACAGTGTGCGCAGGCAGGTCACGTTCGAGCATCGGTTCGTAAAGTGTGAGAACATGATTCGTGAGCTGTGAACTTTTAAACCCTGTGATTTGGTAGTACAGTTTAAGCTGGGGCAGAGTGACACGGCCGAAAATATCGCACAGTGTTCACCCGGCATTACTCCATAGGTCTAAAAACTTCACATCCACATATCTGCTGTTGTGTGAATGAATGGTTGTTTTTGGCAGACTCACCATTGGTCTTATTTTAGTATATTGTTCCTGACTGGTGTAGTGTAATAAATATTGGTAGTTTTATTGTTATTGAAGGCTATACAATTTTATCTGGTGTCCAGTTTAGAAACTGTGCTATGCTTGAATTACATCTTAAAACCCTTAAAAATAATCTTCCCTCTGTATTTTGTACTGTAACTTTATCAGCTGGTTCACGTTTTTTGACATAACCAACTCCATTCTGAATCCCATCTGGATCTTTCCCCATTTAATTTACTTTTGTTGTAATGAATAAATACCAGTGACATGCCTCAGTGGGTCAATATGTTCCATCCGCCATCTGCACAATTTAATACAAATATCAAAAATAGAAATCTGTTAAGAAATAAAACTGAATAACCTTAAATTATCTCTTGAGGTTCATTGTGTGCCTTGTGAATTTAACTACAAAATTAACCTTGTTTACAATGAATGTTTGTGTTGTTATCTGTATTGCAAGTTACTATATTCATGTGTTAACTTCATCATATTTTTGTCATGTTACTTTTCTCATGTTATTTACTCAGTTTTATTTGTAACATATTTCAAGAACAGCTCAAAGCGCCTTACACAGAATCCAGCTATTAAAAATATATAGTAAACACATGACAATATTCACAAAATGTTTATTGCTGTTTCTGTTCTATTTTCCAGTCTCAAATCACGGTTATCAGACCATCAGTCATCTTGTTCCACAAATGCAGATCGCTGTTTCAAAGATTGTCTCCAAAACCTCCAAAAGTGGAACAGCAGAGAGACCCCAGAGTCCAGTGATTCTCTACAGGTGAGTTTAAAGCATAGAACAGAGTACATGTTACTGCTACTTGCAATTGCCATTTATTGTCTACACCACAGGTGTCAAACATAAGGCCCAGGGGCCAGATCCGGCCCTCCAAGACCTTTAATGTGGCCCTTGGGTGATTTTCTACTAAAATATTTTAATTATATTTTCTATTAAAATATTGTTAATTTTCTGCGGTGCTTAGCATAGCAGCGTCTCCAGCGTCTCTGTACGTGGCCCCTCCCACCAGAGCAGCACAAATGAAGACTTGTCTCTTTCCAAACGCTCTTAAAGGACGATCGTTTTGACTGTTGACCGTGACACCCTCATCAGAAAAATGTCCAACAGGAGAAAAGTGGAGCCGAGTGCAGGGTTTTCCAAGATAAATGGACTTATTCTTATTTACATACAAGTTCATGTTAAAACATTGTGTTGAAATTGCATTTTTCTTAAAGTTTCAAGTTGTTCATAATATTATAATATTATAATAAGAAAGAGTTCATCAATTAAAAAAGATTTCTGTAATAGATTTGTGTTTCTCTGCACAAATATTTGAACTTATTGTTATTTTTGGGGTTTATATGACATGAGTTTTCTGATCCGGCCCCTTTGGGATTAAAGTAGGTTGGATACGGCCCCCAGACAAAAATGAGTTTGACACCCCTGGTCTACACTATCACTGATAACCAGATGTTAAAGTTGCAGCTGTATTTTGTGTCAGATAGCTACTGTAGTGTTCTTTATTTCACGCCTTTTGATAGTCAAGGATATTTTATTTGTAGAAGTCAGTTTGTAAACAAAGAAATTCTGAAGTGTTTTACAAACCCAAAAGGCCCTGTTTAAAGTACATTTAAAATTACAATACAATTACAGGCATCAATATTAACCAATAAATCAATTTTAAAATATATTTAAATGGTGTAGTGAAGATACATGTCTTGTTTTTACAGTTTAGATGTTCAGTGCAACAGTTCCTGCTTCACATTCTATAATTACTGTTTATTACAATGAGAATAGCAGTGATTTTAAACACATTCCTCTATTTAATGTGTTATAATTTCGCAAAGTTTTTGTACCGATTTATAAGAGACTGTTTTTCCTCCTAGGAATCATTGGAGGAGGGTGAAAAGTACAAATTGGACCTACAGGAGGCGCTCTCACACTGGCAGTTCCTCTCTGACTGTCTCTCTCCTTTAGTCTTTGGGAAATTGGACCAGGAGAGTTCAGAGACTCTGGCCAAAGCTGACATACAGAAGAACAATTTTAACAAAAAGAAAGAGGTATTTTATTTTTATTTTTTTTATCACATTATTTTCCTTAAATTTAGCTTATTTTAGTGAACAAGCTTTCATAGTATGGCATTAAACGTGTATATCTAGAATTAGGCTTTTTATGGCTCCATATTGCCTTGGAAACATGCATTCTTACTATAAGTCAGAAAGCCTATCCTCATATCTGACCTGTAAGTTGGCCTGTGCTTTTTTGTCCCCATGGAGACAGATAAGGTTAATGCCATACTGTGGAAAGTTACAGAAAAGCTAGAAACAGCTACCAGCTCTTTGATAATTCATACAAAGTTTAGAAAGCGTACACAGCAGTATGATTTCTTCATGTGATAAAAACTGTACTAACTAAAAATCATTTAGTAATTTTGAACACTTCATTCATACATTTTCTCTTTGATTTCTTTCTAGGAGCTTGATGCCAGACCCAAATTTAAACCTACAGTTGCTCAAATGTCCAGTGAAATGTCTTTAGTGGCACCTCCGCGAAAGAAGCGTTCTCAAATGACCCCAGCAGCCAGCATGCAATCCATCAACCAATCTGCAGAAGAGGACGAGAAACAGATTAATGTAATCGAACCAATGGAAGTGGAGTCTGTTGTATGTGACATTTCCCAACGCATGGAAGAGTCTATGATTTGGGAGAAAGTTAAGACAATAAAGGAAGACTCAGGAACTGAAATGGAAACCTCTTTACCAATTGAGAAAATGGTTGTAGACACTAAAGAGGTTAAGGAGCCGACTACTCAAGCTGCAAGTCAAGAAACGCCTGTGCCATTGAGAAGAAGATCCAAGATGGTGACTACTGAACCAGAGACAAAACAGATTAAAATTGAAACTCAAATTCCGCAACCAATTCAACAAGAAAGTTTGGAAACTAAAAAGATTTCTACAATTATTCTTGACAATTCACAGTCATTCATAATTCCAAGTGAAACTGGAAGCAAAATGGAAGACATAATTACCGAAGAGCAAGTTAAGACCAGACCAGAAGACATTTCAACTCTTGAAGATGCTGTACCACCAAAACGCAAACCAAAAAGTCCAAAAATTCAACCAAAAGAAACTAAAAGTTCTGTTACAACTGATGCTGTGGTGGTACCAGTGAGAAAGAAATCAAAATCTACACCTCCAACCGAAATTTTTATTGAGGGATCCAAAGAAGAAAGTGTCCAAGAAACTGCTAAGCTTTCTCCAACCAAAAAGCGGTCTAAAAAGTCAAAATCTTCACCAGAAATTGCACCTAAAGAAGTGAAAATGAGTGAAGCCATAGAGGAGACCAAGCCTTTCGAAATGGAGGAAGCTAAAGTAGATCAAGAGCATAAGGAAACAGTGGAGGAACCCAAGTTGGTGGTGCCAAGAAGAAAAACCAAGATGGCAGAGTTTCAACAAAAAACATCTCAAGAAATTTATGCTTCATCTGAGTCTGTAAATATTCCAGAGGTTTCAGAAAATGGAAAATTAACGCCACCAAAAAGAAAGCCAAAAAGTCCCAAAGCATCTCCTGCAATTGTTAAGAAGGACATGCCAAAAGAAGACACAGAGCTAGACAGTCAAAGCATTTCTTTAGATCAAGATTTAGATTCATGGAAAACAACTCAACCTGCAACTGAGCCTATTACAGCTGCTGAGGTATCAACTGAAAAATCTATTGAAGAAAAAGGCACTTTGTCACCAACCAAAAGAAAGCCAAAGGGCAAACCTAAACTTTCACCAGAACTTCCTAAAAAGGAGGTAGACGAGACCAAAGATGAACCCAAGACTGAAAGATCTCCAACTGAAACTACTGTTTTAGAAATAAGTAGTCTATCAAAAGAAGACACAGAGCTGGACAGTCAAAACATTTCTTCCATTCAAGATTTAGATTCACAAAAAACAACTCAATTTGCAACTGAAGCTATTATTGAAATGCCAATTGTAGTTGCTGATATATCAACTGAAAAATCTATGGATGAAAATGGCACTTTGTCACCAACCAAAAGAAAGTCAAAGGGCAAACCTAAAATTTCACCAGAACTTCCTAAAAAGGAAGAAGAAGAGACCAAAGAAGAATCCAATACTGAAACATTTCCAACAGAAATGAGTGCTTTAGAACTTTCTAAAGACAGTGGACTCTCACCACCAAAAAGAAGGTCCAAAAAATCTAAAATATCTTCAGAACTGTCCAAAAAGGAGGTCGATGAAACTAAAATTCAGGCTCCATCTGTGGTTGAAACGACTGCCAGTGTGTCTCCACCAAAGCGCAAGTCTAAAGGGAAGAAAATTAAGTCTCAAGATTCATCAGAAGAGTCTCCAATAGACGTTCCAACAGATCCAGTGGATGAGTTTAAGAAATTGGCTACTATAGTTTTGGAAATGCCCGGCACTGTTCCACAAACAATTTTCAAAGAAACAATTTTCAAGCCAAAACAAGATACACCTACAGAAAGAGTAGTGGAATTATCTGAAACTCCAAGTAAGGAAGCCAAGAAAGCTCAAAAAGGTGAAGTTCAAACTACTACTGAAAGCATGAGGCCAGTTTCTACAAAGGCTGCACTTGAGTTTGTAAGCTCTGGGGAAATGGAAGAGAAGAAAGTAGCTACAATAGTTTTGGAAATGCCAGAATCTGATGACCAGCCTCAGGTTAGTACCAAGCCAGACACTATTCAATCAATGGATACAACTGATAATGTAGAAACAGAGGTAGCGAAAGATCTCCGAGAAGTTCCTGAAGATGTGCCAATGCAACAGCAAGAAACAAAAATGCGTACTGAAGATGACACTGTGACAAATATTGTTACAATTAGTGAGCCAGTAGTACGCATGGATGTCAGCCTACCTATTGCAGAAACTGAAGAGAAGAAAGTGGCCATACTTGTTTTGGAAATGCCTCAAGAACTTCCCATAACAGAAACAAAATCTGTTGACAAAGATTCAGAAGATCAACCTATTAAAGAACAAACAAGCAAGCCAATGGAAGATTTAGCTGTAGAAGAACCAAAGCAAATTGATATTCAACCTATGAAACCTGATGCAAAGGATATCTCAGTTTGTAAGGCAGTCAAGGATCAAATTGATGCTTTGGCAAAGATTGAAGAGAGCAAAGTGGCGACAATAATTCTAGAAATGCCTGATTCAACTGTTCCAAAAACAGAGACAAACCTGGAGACAAAACCAGAGCAAGCACCAAGAAATGAAGAGAAGATGAACATTTCTGCAACACCAGATGTTACAGAAAAAGAAGACATTAAAATAACTCCATTGTCTAAGAAATCCACTGGTGAAGTAGAGCCCATGCAAGACAAATATACCATTACAATGCCAGTGTCTAAAGAAATCGACCTACCAGCAACTCAAGAAGAACCACTCATTCAAGAAGCAGAAATTCAGACTATCATCCAAGAGACTGGCCCGGCTGTTGAGGATACCAAAGTAGAAGATGCAGAAACCATTCAGCAGAAGTTTGACAGTTTTGACGAAGTCCACTTGCAGCCCGAATCTACAAATGACGCTTCTGATTCAGTTGGAAATGAAGATAAAAAAGGGCTTGTTTCAGACAAACAGCAAGACTCCATAGATGTGATGGAAAAAGTTTCAAAGCCAGAGCAAGTTACACAGATGGCCAGCGAAGATGTAGTGTTACCCAAAGAAGTAGATACTAGAGAAAATGGCATTAGTTCTGTTAGTGATACAGTTGTGCTTGGTGATGCTGATTCTATTGAAGTTGCATTAGAAACATCTGAAATTATTGCGCAACCTGGTCAAAATGTTAAGGAAGTTAGTGAAATTAAGGAGGGCAAAGGGGTTATCCAAGAAGTGAAACCTATGCAGACAGTAGAAATTCAGCCTTCAGTTGATGAGACCAAAGATATTGTTAAAGATAGTGATCATTCAAAATTGCCCCAGAAGGTTGATGACATTGCTATGAAACCTGGTCAAGATGTAAAAAAAGTACCTGTAGTTTTCACTGATAAAGCAAAGGTGCAAAAAGAACAAGATTTGTTAGCTGAGCCCCAAATTACATCTGAAACTGTTAATATGGAGGATAGTGAAAGCCAACCTTCAGAAGAATCAGTTGTGGCAGAGGAGACTGTAGTAGAATACATTAGCATAATCAGAAAGCCAATCGTTGAAGATAGTGAAGAAGACAAAATGGCTGCTAAAAAGCCAGATATTACTCCAGAAGTAAGTAGTAGTAGCATTTTACAAACAGAAGTTCCAGAAACAATTAAAATAGAGTTGACCGCTTCCACGCTGTGCCCCCAGATTGAAGAAATAGCTCATCCAAGCGAAGTTCGGCCTCAAAATGTAAGTACAAAATCGACCGCCGAGAATGCAGTGTCCACAAGTTTGGCTGATTACATAGATCACATTTGCAAAGAACCGCTTGATACTGAAAAGAGATACATATTGCTAGATGTGCATGAAAGTGAAATCACGCAAGTTTGCACGTCAGACACTGAAAAGGCTGACAAAGATACTATGAGTGAATCTTCTCAGCCTATTTCAGACACGGTATTGTCCACTGATGCCGCGCATGTTGTTGAAGAAATGCATGTAGATTTGCATGTAGATGATGAAAATGTATCATCGGATCAAGATAAACCCAGGGACGCAGTAAGTACTATTGAAATTCCAACTTCCACACAAAAAATTGATTCTGACTTGCATGCTGCTAAAAGTGATTCTCAGGCAGATGTAGAGATGATAGATGTAGAAAACATTACAAAGACACAGCCAAAGGAAAGACAAACTGACTTGGGTAAGGAAAAGGCAACAGTAGATATCACTGTACAAACAGATAAGATGCCTAAAGATTCAGACTTACCTAGTGACAATAAACAGCTAAATATGGAATCCATTTCTGCAGCTGTGGAAGGCACGGAGGGGAAGATTAGCGAAGCAACACCTAAAATTGAAAATAATTTAATGGAAGAAGAAGGAGTATACATTGAAGAGAATGCCAAAAGTGAGACCATACCAACAGATACAATACATGTTGAAGAAACAGTAATATCTGAAATGGAAGGCTTGGAAACACCACAAGAGGGAGGCAAAGAGGAAAAGGATCAGGTAAGTAATAACACATCTGATTTGGAGATTCCTGAAGTTGACCAAACTGACAATCAGAAAGAAGACACACTAAGTTCAGTTGCAACAGTGGAAATACTCAAAGAAAAAGATTTGGTAAGTATGCCGGAAAAAGAGGACATAATAGATGATATTCACATAACCACAACACCACAGAAACAGGAGACAAGTAAATCCAGTCAAGATGAACCTGAAACCACAACAATTATACAAGAAACAAGAAAAGGCCCAAAGGTGTCAGAGGAGCCTACATTATCCTTCGAGGTCGTAACAACAGTGCAAGATATAGAAAAAACAAGTCAAGAAGCAAGTACACCGGAAGTTGTAAAAATGCCCAAAGATGAGATGGATCAACCACAGGAGACTAGATCAGAGCCATCAGAACAAAAGGTGGTCAAACCAGTAGAAGCTGAGCCAGGTCAAGTTACTAGTGAGATGGAAGTTTTAATAACTACTAAATATGGCAAAGATAAGAGAGAGGCAGAAACAGCATTACCAGATAAAGAACTTGTGGATGAACTAGACAAGTCAGAGGACCCTGCATTGTCTTTTGAGGTTGTAGCAACAGCCATTTCTGTTTTCACCAATGAACCCTCAACACCCCAAGAAGAACAAGTAGAGACCAAAACTGAGATGAGGCCACCTATCAAAGATCTTGACACCAAAATGCCAGAAAAAGCTGAGCTTCCCGGAGATGAAGACAGAACTAGTGTAACAAAATCAGAAAATGACAAAATGACTAAACCGTCTTGGAGTCAAGTAGGTTCCAAGACTTATGCTGAAACAAGTTTAATAGAAAACATGGGTAAAGAGCCATGTTCAGAACCACAAAATACTGAAAAGACTGGTGTTTCTGAAAAGACAAAAGATAAACCAACTTTGAAGAGAATAAAAAGTGTGGAGATTTCCCGATCAAAAGAGAAGGAGATTTCTCTTACTCGAGCTGGAAGTCTGGATGTGAAAGAACCTAGAAAGACTGTATCAAAAGCTGAAATTGATAAAGTAACACAGGCCAAAACAAAGCCTAAAGGACTCAAATTACCATCTTCAAAATCTAAAATTGAGATTCCGGCACCAAAGACTGAAAAACTGACTCCTGATGACACAAGTGACAAAATAGCAGTTGAAAATGAATCAAAATTGCTTATATCAGAAAGTCAAGAGCCTTTGTCTATGGAGGAAAATTGTATAACTCAAGACATTTTAGTAGATGAGCTTGCCAAAGAAGAGACATGTAGTACAGAACCAGTCACCAAAGATTCAGACACAAAAGAGAAGGAAGAAAAGTCTGTAGAAAACAAAGCGATTAAACTTTCTGAAAAAGTAAAACCCCAGCCATCATTAAGAAAAACAAAAAGTTTTGATATTTCCAAACCTAAGGAGACACAAATGGCTAGAGCAAGCAGCATTGATGTGCAAGAAATACAACCGAGGAAGGCATTTCCCAGAGTTGAAAGTGATAAAGTGCCAGAGTCAACAACAAAAACAAAAAGTCTAAAATCTCCAAAATCTGAAGAGACAACCAAAAATGTAGCCATGATTTCTGAGGCTACTGCACCACCATCTAAAACACCTGATGGAGATATGATCAGAGCTTCATCAGCAGTAACTGAACCAAAGGTTTTGCCTGATGATGTCTCTCCAACACTTGATGACGAGGAACTGAAAACTGAATTAGACCATATTGAGTCATCTGTGGAGTCGCCTGCAACTACTGAAGATGCAAAACAAACTATAAAAGCTTCAGGGAAAGAAAAAGCCAAACCAATACTAAAGAAGGCACAAAGCGTTACTATTTCTGAACCTAAGGAAGTACGTATTGCTAGATCAGGCAGCTTGGATGTGAAAGAAATGCAACTAAGAAGGCCTAATTCCAAAGTAGAAGTGTCACAACCTAAAATCAAACCAAAAGCTCCCAAATTAACCTCATTAAAGTCAAAGGAGATTGCAAAAAAAACTTCAGAGTCTACAATACAATTAGCTGATTTTGGCAAAGAAAGTGAACTAAAATCTCCCAATGCTGTAACTGAATTGGAAAAACTAGAAAGTCAGGACTTTACCTCGATATCTGGTACTGATATTTCTCTGGAACTTCCGAAAGAGGAACAGGAAGAAGAAAAGGGTGAGGCAGTTGATATGAAGCAATTATTAGTTGCACCTTCTTCAACAAAAAATGCAGTGGCCATAGAAACATCTAAGCTGGAAATTCCTGAAGAAAAACACACCCCATCTCTAAGAAAAGCAAAAAGCATTGACACTGACAAACCCAAAGAGATGTTTCCTGTCCGAGCAGCCAGTATTGATTTGCAAGATATTAAAAGAAGAAAGGACAAAGTTGAAACAGGTAAACCACTAAAGACCAAAGAAAAAACTCCCAAATTATCAACTTCCAAGATTAAAGATTCCTCAGAGGATACTGTCTTGATTTCTGATACTGAAACTGCATTTGATCCTGATCTTCCAGAACTTTCACCAACAAATTACAAAAAAAATTCAGCTGAATTAGAAAAAACTCAAATTCAAAAACCTGACTCAGATTCTGCTGATTTTGCTCTATCATCTAAGCTCCCTGAAGAAAAATACAAGCTTTCACCTACTGATATCACTCTAGAAATAAAGCCAAAAGTTGGCATTGAGGAAACTTCAATACCTGAAACAAATGTTGAACAACCAAAAGAGATTCAAAAGTCTGTGGTCGGAAGTAAAGCTGCTGCTGCCAAAGAAGGAAAGGCAAAACCCAGCATGAAAAAAGCAAAGAGTGTAGACATGCCCAAACCAAAAGACACATGTATTTCCCGAACAGGCAGCATTGATGTGAAAGATATACAACAGAAGACAAGCATATCCACAATTGATAGTGGAAAGCCTGAAGAAACCAAAATGGATACAAATATAAGTAGTAAGGATTCCATAGATCTCTCCAAAACTGCAAAACTGGAAATGCCTGATACTGTGGCTGAGATCATTGAAGAAACAGATGCAAAACTGCAAAGTGACAATCAAAACGATGCCCCACAAGTTGAAGAAATTGATGAAGAAATTGAAATTTTGGAAATTTCACAAACCAATCCAAATCTAGAGGAGTTTGAGCAACCACCAGTTATAACTACAAAAATGGTTTCAGAGTCACAGAAAGGTGACAAAGAACCTATTATAGATGATTCAGTAGAGCTAAAATTGAGAGTGGAGGGGGGAATCCAACGAGAAGAAGAAATTAATACTAATGATGTCATCAATAAACCAGATCACGAATTGATGTCTTCAGATGAAGATGTGGAGGAATTGATGGATAGTCTAAGTGACAGCAAAGTCACCAGAACAAAAAAGAAGAAGAGAAGCAAAAAGTGTAAAAAGGAAGATTCTGGTGTAGAAAATGAGCCTGTGAACATCCAGCCTAATCCACCAGATCTCAATGAAATGTTAACAATAGATGTTAAAACACAAGTTGAATTTGAGCTTGAGGTGTTGAAAAAAGAAGATCGTATTACCGAAAGCAAAAGAAGACCAAAGTCTGAAGGAAAAGTGAATGTGTCAGAAGAATTAGATATTATTTCTGAAGTAGGAGAGCCAAAAATTGAGAGATTATTCAGAAAAGACAAACTCTCGCCCAAGTCCAAAACTCGTCTGAATGTTTCACCCGAACTTCCTGAAAATGAGACCAATGATGAGACTCACAAGGTTAACTTAATATTAAAGACAGTTGCATCAACAGTAGCACAATTAGTGACGTCAGAGGAAAAGGACAACACAACAGTGTTACCTAAACCAGAGCCTACAATAGATATTCAACAAAATCCAAAGGCAAAAACATGGGAAGCTGATGACATCAAGTTTCTGGAGGAAAAAATCGAAAAATCTCAATCTCAGCAGGGAGGTGAAATGACGACTATGGCACCACAAGTGGTCCAACCACCTCAGGGAGAGAAGACTCCACGAAAAAATTCCAAAGACAGTGAATTCACCCAGGTGGAAGACATCCCTGTCGATAACGTTGCTGAGTCTGATGAACCACGTAGTCGACCAGTCGAGCATGAGGGTATAATAAAGACCACTGAACCATGGGATGAGAGTGAAACCTCTAAAACCAAACAAAAGAAAAAGACAAGAAAACCCAAAAGGACAAGCAAAGACAAGGGTCATGAGGAGGAGGAGGTGCCTTCTCACTTCCAAGAAATGACAAAATTGATTCAACAAATCGAAAAAGAGAAAGAAACACCACTGGAAACACCCAAAGACAGTGTTCTAATTGAGCCCCAAGAGCCGACTTTGGTTGTTTGTGAGATTCAATCAGCAGTACCTCATGCAGAAATGTATAGCAATTTGCCATCGCCAAAAGAAAGTTTAGAAATTACCCTAGCAGAAGAAACCCCTGTCGTGGATGTTACTGAGTCTGATGAACCACGAAGTCCAACAGCTGAGCGTGAGTTACCTTCAGAGGAGGGTCAAATGAAGACCACTGAAACACTGAGTGAGACTGGAGTCTCCAAAACCAAAGAAAAGAAAAAGACAAAGAAACCCAAAAAGACAAGCAAAGACAAGGGTCGTGGGGAGGAGGAAGCGCCTTCTGACTTCCAAGAAGTAAAACCTGATTCTACTGAACCACAGGGCGTGTGATCAAAAGAAACAGAGGAAAAATTTGTTCCCTCTGAAGAACAAGACCTCATAACTCCACCTCAGCCAGAAACAGTATCAGTGCCAACAGAGCAGGTCCAAGAAATTGAAAAAGACAAAGAAATTCCACTAGAAATGCCCAAAGACAGTGTTCAGATTAAGCCCCAAGAGCCAACTGCTGGTGTGGTTTCTGAGATTCAGCCAACAGATCCTCATGCAGAAATTGATAGTGATTTACCATCACCAAAAGAAAGTTTAGACATTACCCTAGCAGAAGAAACCCCTGTCTTGGATGTTACTGAGTCTGATGAACCACGTAGCCCAACAGCTGAGCGTGAGTTACCTTCAGAGGAGGGTCTTATGAAGACCACTGAAACACTGAGTGAGACTGGAGTCTCCAAAACCAAAGAAAAGAAAAAGACAAAGAAACCCAAAAAGACAAGCAAAGACAAGGGTCGTGGGGAGGAGGAAGCGCCTTCTGACTTCCAAGAAGTAAAACCTGATTCTACTGAACCACAGGGCGTGATCAAAGAAACAGAGGAAAAATTTGTTCCCTCTGAAGAACAAGACCTCATAACTCAACCTCAGCCAGAAACAGTATCAGTGCCAACAGAGCAGGTCCAAGAAATTGAAAAAGACAAAGAAATTCCACTAGAAATGCCCAAAGACAGTGTTCAGATTCAGCCCCAAGAGCCAACTGCTGGTGTGGTTTCTGAGATTCAGCCAACAGAACCTCATGCAGAAATTGATAGTGATTTACCATCACCAAAAGAAAGTTTAGACATTACCCTAGCAGAAGAAACCCCTGTCTTGGATGTTACTGAGTCTGATGAACCACGTAGCCCAACAGCTGAGCGTGAGTTATCTTCAGAGGAGGGTCAAATGAAGACCACTGAAACACTGAGTGAGACTGGAGTCTCCAAAACCAAAGAAAGAAAAAAAAGACAAAGAAACCCAAAAAGACAAGCAAAGACAAGGTCGTGGGAGGAGGAAGCGCCTTCTGACTTCCAAGAAGTAAAACCTGATTCTACTGAACCACAGGGCGTGATCAAAGAAACAGAGGAAAAATTAGTTCCCTCTGAAGAACAAGACCTCATAACTCCACCTCAGCCAGAAACAGTATCAGTGCCAACAGAGCAGGTCCAAGAAATTGAAAAAGACAATGAAATTCCACTAGAAATGCCCAAAGACAGTGATCAGATTGAGCCCCAAGAGCCAACTGCTGGTGTGGTTTCTGAGATTCAGCCAGCAGAACCTCATGCAGAAATTGATAGTGATTTACCATCACAAGAGACATCGATACAAACTGCTCAAGCTGAGCCACAGGAGTTGAAAGAATGAGCCTGAGGTCTCCAAAAAGATCAAGTGCTGAGTTAAAGGCCACAGATGTTGAGTCACAGTCATCTTTCGTTGATCTTGTGAAAGTAGCAGCGCAGAAATTACAAAGGTGTGGAAACAAATATTTACCACTGATTATTCCAAAACTGAAAAGGTGATGAGGAAGAGAAGCCGTTTCCGCGGATCAGTCAAAATCTCTACCAAAAGAAACAGAATTAACAAACGAATCAACGCAAAAGTAATTCAAATTCAGCCCAGATGAATCAGTAACTACACCGCAGGTGGTTCAACCAGCTGAGGAGGAAAAAGAAACCCCATGGAATCAAAAAAGATTCTGATGAAATTGAGCCACAACAGCAACTTTGGAGGTTTGTGAGATTCAACCAAAAAACCTCAAGCAGAAATAACAATTGATAGTGATGTACCATCATCAAAAGACATTGAAACAGTCTTAAAATTAACCAGAAGAACAGAAATTGATTGGTATGCGAAAATAAAGAAACTCTACCTCTGCCAGAAGATTCAGAAATTACCCAGTTAAAGAAGAAACCCCTGTCTTGGATGTTACTGAGTCTGATGAACCACGTAGCCCAACAGCTGAGCGTGAGTTATCTTCAGAGGAGGGTCAAATGAAGACCACTGAAACACTGAGTGAGACTGGAGTCTCCAAAACCAAAGAAAAGAAAAAGACAAAGAAACCCAAAAAGACAAGCAAAGACAAGGGATCGCGGGGAGGAGGAAGCGCCTTCTGACTTCCAAGAAGTAAAACCTGATTCTACTGAACCACAGGGCGTGATCAAAGAAACAGAGGAAAAATTAGTTCCCTCTGAAGAACAAGACCTCATAACTCCACCTCAGCCAGAAACAGTATCAGTGCCAACAGAGCAGGTCCAAGAAATTGAAAAAGACAAAGAAATTCCACTAGAAATGCCCAAAGACAGTGTTCAGATTCAGCCCCAAGAGCCAACTGCTGGTGTGGTTTCTGAGATTCAGCCAACAGAACCTCATGCAGAAATTGATAGTGATTTACCATCACCAAAAGAAAGTTTAGACATTACCCTAGCAGAAGAAACCCCTGTCTTGGATGTTACTGAGTCTGATGAACCACGTAGCCCAACAGCTGAGCGTGAGTTACCTTCAGAGGAGGGTCAAATGAAGACCACTGAAACACTGAGTGAGACTGGAGTCTCCAAAACCAAAGAAAAGAAAAAGACAAAGAAACCCAAAAAGACAAGCAAAGACAAGGGTCGTGGGGAGGAGGAAGCGCCTTCTGACTTCCAAGAAGTAAAACCTGATTCTACTGAACCACAGGGCGTGATCAAAGAAACAGAGGAAAAATTAGTTCCCTCTGAAGAACAAGACCTCATAACTCAACCTCAGCCAGAAACAGTATCAGTGCCAACAGAGCAGGTCCAAGAAATTGAAAAAGACAATGAAATTCCACTAGAAATGCCCAAAGACAGTGATCAGATTGAGCCCCAAGAGCCAACTGCTGGTGTGGTTTCTGAGATTCAGCCAGCAGAACCTCATGCAGAAATTGATAGTGATTTACCATCACCAAAAGAAAGTTTAGACATTACCCTAGCAGAAGAAACCCCTGTCTTGGATGTTACTGAGTCTGATGAACCACGTAGCCCAACAGCTAACTGAGCGTGAGTTACCTTTCAGAGGAGGGTCAAATAAAGACCACTGAAACACTGAGTGAGACTGGAGTCTCCAAAACCAAAGAAAAGAAAAAGACAAAGAAACCCAAAAAGACAAGCAAAGACAAGGTCGCGGGAGGAGGAAGCGCCTTCTGACTTCCAAGAAGTAAAACCTGATTCTACTGAACCACGGGGCGTGATCAAAGAAACAGAGGAAAAATTAGTTCCCTCTGAAGAACAAGACCTCATAAACTCCACCTCAGCAGAAACAGTATCAGTGCCAACAGAGCAGGTCCAAGAAATTGAAAAAAGACAAAGAAATTCCACTAGAAATGCCCAAAGACAGTGTTCAGATTTCAGCCCCAAGAGCCAACTGCTGGTGTGTTTCTGAGATTCAGCCAACAGAACCTCATGCAGAAATTGATAGTGATTTACCATCACCAAGAGACATCGATACAACTGCTCAAGCTGAGCCACAGGAGTTGAAAGAGAGTGAGCCTGAGGTCTCCAAAAAGGATCCAAGTGCTGAGTTAAAGGCCACAGATGTTGAGTCACAGTCATCTTTCGTTGATCTTGTGAAAGTAGCAGCGCAGGAAATTACAAAAGGTGTGGAAACAATATTTACCACTGATTATTCCAAAACTGAAAAGGTGGATGAGGAAGAGACAGCCGTTTCCGCGGATCAGTCAAAATCTCTACCAAAAGAAACAGAATTAACAAACGAATCAACGCAAAATGTAATTCAAATTCAGCCCGAGATGGAATCAGTAACAGTACCACCGCAGGTGGTTCAACCAGCTGAGGAGGAAAAAGAAACCCCACTGGAATCAAAGAAAGATTCTGATGAAATTGAAGCCACAACAGCCAACTTTGGAGGTTTGTGAGATTCAACCAACAAAAACCTCAAGCAGAAATAACAATGATAGTGATGTACCATCATCAAAAGACATTGAAACAAGTCTTAAAATTAAACCAGAAAGAACAGAAATTTATGGTATGCGAAAATAAAGAAACTCTTACCTCTTGCCAGAAGATTCAGAAATTACTCCAGTTAAAGAAACCCCTGTCTTGGATGTTACTGAGTCTGATGAACCACGTAGCCCAACAGCTGAGCGTGAGTTATCTTCAGAGGAGGGTCAAATGAAGACCACTGAAACACTGAGTGAGACTGGAGTCTCCAAAACCAAAGAAAAGAAAAAGACAAAGAAACCCAAAAAGACAAGCAAAGACAAGGGTCGTGGGGAGGAGGAAGCGCCTTCTGACTTCCAAGAAGTAAAACCTGATTCTACTGAACCACAGGGCGTGATCAAAGAAACAGAGGAAAAATTAGTTCCCTCTGAAGAACAAGACCTCATAACTCCACCTCAGCCAGAAACAGTATCAGTGCCAACAGAGCAGGTCCAAGAAATTGAAAAAGACAAAGAAATTCCACTAGAAATGCCCAAAGACAGTGTTCAGATTCAGCCCCAAGAGCCAACTGCTGGTGTGGTTTCTGAGATTCAGCCAACAGAACCTCATGCAGAAATTGATAGTGATTTACCATCACCAAAAGAAAGTTTAGACATTACCCTAGCAGAAGAAACCCCTGTCTTGGATGTTACTGAGTCTGATGAACCACGTAGCCCAACAGCTGAGCGTGAGTTATCTTCAGAGGAGGGTCAAATGAAGACCACTGAAACACTGAGTGAGACTGGAGTCTCCAAAACCAAAGAAAAGAAAAAGACAAAGAAACCCAAAAAGACAAGCAAAGACAAGGGTCGTGGGGAGGAGGAAGCGCCTTCTGACTTCCAAGAAGTAAAACCTGATTCTACTGAACCACAGGGCGTGATCAAAGAAACAGAGGAAAAATTAGTTCCCTCTGAAGAACAAGACCTCATAACTCAACCTCAGCCAGAAGCAGTATCAGTGCCAACAGAGCAGGTCCTAGAAATTGAAAAAGACAAAGAAATTCCACTAGAAATGCCCAAAGACAGTGATCAGATTGAGCTGCAAGAGCCAACTGCTGGTGTGGTTTCTGAGATTCAGCCAGCAGAACCTCATGCAGAAATTGATAGCGATTTACCATCACCAAAAGAAAGTTTAGACATTACCCTAGCAGAAGAAACCCCTGTCTTGGACGTTACTGAGTCTGATGAACCACGTAGCCCAACAGCTGAGCGTGAGTTACCTTCAGAGGAGGGTCTTATGAAGACCACTGAAACACTGAGTGAGACTGGAGTCTCCAAAACCAAAGAAAAGAAAAAGACAAAGAAACCCAAAAAGACAAGCAAAGACAAGGGTCGTGGGGAGGAGGAAGCGCCTTCTGACTTCCAAGAAGTAAAACCTGATTCTACTGAACCACAGGGCGTGATCAAAGAAACAGAGGAAAAATTAGTTCCCTCTGAAGAACAAGACCTCATAACTCCACCTCAGCCAGAAACAGTATCAGTGCCAACAGAGCAGGTCCAAGAAATTGAAAAAGACAAAGAAATTCCACTAGAAATGCCCAAAGACAGTGTTCAGATTCAGCCCCAAGAGCCAACTGCTGGTGTGGTTTCTGAGATTCAGCCAACAGAACCTCATGCAGAAATTGATAGTGATTTACCATCAAAAAAGAAAGTTTAGACATTACCCTAGCAGAAGAAACCCCTGTCTTGGATGTTACTGAGTCTGATGAACCACGTAGCCAACAGCTGAGCGTGAGTTATCTTCAGAGGAGGGTCTTATGAAGACCACTGAAACACTGAGTGAGACTGGAGTCTCCAAAACCAAAGAAAAGAAAAAGACAAAGAAACCCAAAAAGACAAGCAAAGACAAGGGTCGTGGGGAGGAGGAAGCGCCTTCTGACTTCCAAGAAGTAAAACCTGATTCTACTGAACCACAGGCGTGATCAAAGAAACAGAGGAAAAATTAGTTCCCTCTGGAAGAACAAGACCTCATAACTCCACCTCAGCCAGAAAACAGTATCAGTGCCCAACAGAGCAGGTCCAAGAAATTGAAAAAAGACAAAGAAATTCCACTAGAAATGCCCAAAGACAGTGTTCAGATTGAGCCCCAAGAGCCAACTGCTGGTGTGGTTTCTGAGATTCAGCCAACAGAACCTCATGCAGAAATTGATAGTGATTTACCATCACCAAGAGACATCGATACAACTGCTCAAGCTGAGCCACAGGAGTTGAAAGAGAATGAGCCTGAGGTCTCC